GATCTCTGTGAGTGGTTTTTGTCTATGTTTGTGTTGACCTGTGTGTAGGTAGCTACCTAGCAACGGGCTCATCATTCGTCCAAAGAGTTCTATCGACTGTGTAAAAAAGATTGATTAACAAACTGAAGAAGAGGCCAGGGCCAGACAAAAAGGCTGTAGAACCATTGATAAATGAATGAATATTATTCATAAGTTCAAATATGCTGATCGAAAGAACAAATACGAAATCAAGTACGTTTCATTCCTTCAGTCAAAATCAGATGAGTACATCAAGATTTATTGTGGTGTATTTTGAGCAGGTTATAGTTACATTTGTAACAAACAATTATCGGGAATCTGGTGTAGGTGGGAATGGGGTCCTACTTCGAAGTGTATGTGTTTTTAAGTAACGCTTCCAGCAGACCTAATCATGATAACTGAGTAGACGCACACCCTTCCCCTCCGGACCTACCATAGGGTGTGTGTAAGACAGTGATTTGAAGGTCTGAGTATCTATAATGATAGAAAAAAGTGTGAGTATTTTGATATTTGAGAGGTTTTCACACCGCTGAGTATTAATATTTAGTTCTGCTTAAGTTTTACCCCTCTCATCTTGATACCAAATTACCATACACAAGAGGTCACATCACCGAAGGGCATAATTTCATGTGACTACTTCTAATAGCATTTAAAAGGGATTTGTATGCTGTAGGCACTAACGTTTATGGCAGCAATAATATAGTATAAATTTCTAGCAAAAAGGTTTCATTAAAATGCCATTTTAAAATGAACCCTGTAATTAGAACCCAGAATACTAAATTCGTTTGAGAATTTTTGGCACCTGCGCTTTACGCTGTTCAGTGTGAGTCTGCAGTAGCATTAAAAGGCAATCAATCAATCACTCGCGCATTTCTAGCAGTTGCTCTGAAGAACTTGAGTAGCAAGTGCCTCTGGGGAGCCAGTCACTGTGCCAGGTTCAATAGCCTCAATGTATTTAATCTGTCAATCAATTAAATAGTAATTTTCTTCTGTCCTTGTCGTCCATGAGCTTGTAAGAAGCAGTTTCTGTTGTCTTATTCCTTTTCTTTCTTTTACTCTTAACGTTTCTTTCATTTTTTCATTCACTATATTTATTTTCTTGTGTTGTGTACCTTTCCTTCTCTCTGTCCTTCACTCATTACTTTCCACTATTTTTCTTTTAATTCTCTTTCTTCCTTCCTTTCTCTTCTTTATAACCCTTCTTTCCCATTTTATCTTTCTTCTTAATCTTCGTTTCTTTGTTCTCCCTTTTATATACATTTTATCGTTTCTGACTTTCCCTTCTTTCTTTTCATCTTTATCTTCACTGTTTGCATCTCTGTTTTTGGCGCACATCCAAAGAGGATGTCGTCTTTCTGTTCTGAATTCGAACGGAGCCATTTGCCTCTAACTTCGACAGTAACCAACTATTCTCCTTGGGCCGCGACATAGCACAGGCGATTAGTTTCCGGGTTCCCACAGCGGCAGCCCGAGTTCGATCCAAGATCAATTCATGTGGGACTTGTGGTGGACAAAATGGCACTGGAGAAGGTTTCCTCTGAGTGCGTCGAATTCCACTGTCAATTCTCATTCCACCAAATCCTCCACACTCATCCATCAGCCGGAGCCGGTACAATAGGCCAATTAGTGTCCGAGGTAGCAAGCAGACACAGCCTCACCCCACCCCACCCCATGGAACAAGAGAAAGAGTATGAAGAAAGCAGTCGTCTGGGATTTGGCACCGTGTATATGTGGTGTTATCGCCTCCATCTTCAGGGTAGAAGGAAAAAATATAAGAAATCCGCAAGCGAAGAGACCGTGAGAACCGGTAAAAGCAGACCAGTCAATATTTACAGCATGTGGACATTGCAATATCAGATTCAGCTTGAAGGTGATTAATTACACACTAAACTAACCATCCAAACCTCACCTACCTCTACCAAAACCTACTTCACTGACCCCAGATGTAGCAACATAACCCATATAGTACTTAAACGATACGTGAAGATAAAGAGTCATACAGTATTGTCCCGTGTATGAGTGACATTCGATGGGGTTTGCTTTGGTGACTCCATTTATTGACCACTAACAGATCGTGACTGTAAGTAAGTATGGCGCCATTGCTAATCTCCACACTTTACGATTCACTAAAGCAAATGTTAAGTCTTCTCAGTCTGCTTGCACTAGTCGTTTCCTGGTAGTGGATCTAACAGTGTCATCTGCTTACGTCCTCACTGACCGGCACATATCCCACAACTGAACTTATTCCAGTTGCCCTGCTTATAACATCACGGAACGGACCGCGTAGAAAACGCCGTTTCCAACAATTCTTCTATTGTTGTGTATGGATTCGTTGCCTTGGAAATATGTTAGTTTCCGAAGGCGTTACTCAGTAACAGCTGCGTATATTTTTTTTAAGAATCTGTTGCCTAGCAGCGTATGTTGTTTCGTTGTTTGTTTAGCTGTCGTTACCTAGCAACGGGTTTCAATATGCTATAATATGTAAAAAGTGTATATTCCTTCAGATGTGAGTAGTTTATTACAAATACACAAATTAAAAATAAACTAGTCACATCTGAAAGAATATATTTGCAGGTGATAGAGTGATTATAGACAGGGTTTGGACTGGTAATCCGTTTTATTGAACATTTAGAGAACGTAGCTACAAATAACTAAGACAGTTTCACTGATTCACACACTCCAAAGATCCCTGTAATTATAGTCTTCACTGGCCGTTGCTTGGTAACTGTTTTTAACGGCGGTCGTTCCCCTTCGTCTGGATTCCCGAACTGTCTCTGGCCTCAGCTACAAGCTTCTCACCTCTCACAACTGTAACTCTCAACTGACTCGAGCCAAAGTCGAAGTGATATTATGACCGACGATCAGTCTGCCAGTCTGTCTTGGTGTCAAGCACTCATCTGGGGCCCAAGATCAAATTGTTATTACTGTCAGACAGTTGCGGGTTTGTTGATGTGTGCACCCTCTCTGAGGAGCGGACGGATCTATCATTTACAACTGCCGCTCACACTAGCCAGCGCAGTCATTCTCGAGTCCGAGTCCTACAGGACTCATGTCCATATTTCACATCCTCAGATTCGAGAGTCCTTCAACCTGGATGGCTGGGTCTCCGTATTTATATCCCTCAGGAGCAGGATGGCCCGGTTGTACCCCCACGCACTTGGTTCCCTTTTCGTCCCCTTTTACGACTAGAAGAGCTATGGGGAACCTGTTTAGTTCTCGTTATATAGCCCTGACACGGACCGCACAGAAAACGTCTCCTCCATTATTGGGTGTTCTGTCTTTGCCGGGAAACGTGTCCACAGAGCTACGTCCTTAGCGACGGCTGTTTTACTGTCTCCTGTTTACACAGCTGTTGCCTAATAATGGCTGTTACTCTAGCTCCACTATTTCATTTTTCATGCGCCATGTAACAATATACGTTTTACATATATATTATACGTCGTGACGGAAAAATCTCCACAATTCTACAGCTAATTACTGAAATTGTCTCTAATTGTTCAGAGACACGAACATTTCCCTTATTCCATATGTATCTGTATTCTCATTAAGTACAGAACAGGTTTGTGCAGGAGTCGTGTACAGTTATTCTCACTAAATGCCAATAGCCCGTCCGGAGATTTAGAATCACATGAACACCGTTCCCTTGATTAAATGAAACAGCATTCTTGACTTAATTACGAGAGAGCACGAGTCGTACAGTCTAATCAACTACAGAGAAAACTGGCATCCTCATTTTCCGAAAGACGCCGCAGGGTCCGACATGATGATTTCTTGCGTTATGTAATGACATTTCTTTAACTGGTTATCAGTTCCGTATTGTATGAAACTTGGTTTCTCTAATTGCGAGAAGCACATGGAGTCAGGGAGTTGGAGAAGAGGATGCTGAGAAGAATATTTGGATCTAGGACGAAGGGTGCATTAAACTGCATAAAGAGGATCTTCACGATTTGTAGTCCTGACCACGTTATTATTGGGTTGAACAAATCAAGAAGGACGAGGTGGACGGGGTACAATTGAGAAAGAATAAATATACATACAAAGTTCTGGTTGGAGAACCTAAGGAAAGAGGTTGCTTGGAAGACCTGAGCGTAGAACACAGAGAAAAAGCATATGATTATAATAGATTTATCTGGCTCAGGGTAGGGACTAATTGTTTGGGTCTGAAATATGGTGTATGATATTAAGGTAGGAACATAGACTGAGGGTGTTTGAGAACATTTGGACCGAGTAGAGATGAAATGAAGGAAGTTTCGAGAAAACTGCATAATGAGGAACTTCATAACTTGTACTTACCGCCAGATACAATTAGAATGATCAAGTCAAAGTGGATGAGATTGGCAGGACATGGAACAAGAATGGGGAAGAAGAGGAATGTGTCTAGGATATTCGTGGGAAAGCCAGAAGGAATGAGACCACTTGGAAGATCAAGACGTAGGTGGGTGGATAATATTAAAATGAGTCTTAGAGAGATCGGGCATATTGGTATGGACCGGATCGATCTGGCTAAGAATATAGACAAGTAGAGGGCTGTTGTGAACACAGGAATGAACATTCACGTTCCATAAATTGCTGGGAAGTTCTCGAGTATCTGCAAAATTGGAGAATTCTCAAAAAGTACTCCTCTACATGAAGTTAATTAGTTGGTTGGTTAGTTCGTTAGGTCGCGGCATAGCTCAAGCGGTTAGTCTGGTCAAGTGGGATTTGGGGTGGACAAAGTGGCGCTGGGGCAGGTTTTCTCCGAGTACTTCGGTTTCCCCTGCCAATCTTCATTCCACCAATTGCTCCACAGTCACCCTCACCTATCATCTTGGGCTAGTACAATAGGCCAGAAATGACAGCAGTACAAGGGACTTAGTCCCACCCCATTAGCAATAACAAAAAACACTTAGTAGGTGAGAACATGATTTCTCAAAGTCTACAGTCCAATAATGGGGCACACGTTATGTATTGTGTATTTAAGAATTCATTTTCTTATATTACAGAGTGTTCTTTGGCTCCGTTTGTGACTGGAACATCAGCGCAGAAAATCCCGTTTGTATTCCTGCCATTGAAAGGTCAGATCATATATCCCAGTGCAGAAATACATTTCTCTGGTAAGTTGAAAGCAACATAAATATTCTCGTCCGAGCCAACTGACTGATATATCACATGACTTCTTCAAACAGTATTGGAATTTCTACAGTTGTCTGTTAATTATTTCAGTTCTTTCGCGTCACACGAAGAGCTTCTAATAATTATAGGCGAATAGCTCATTATTTCAAAGCATGAAACATTTCAATAATTCTTCTTTTTAGAAAATATGCTGTCTTATTTCCATTATCGTTTCTAATTAATTTTACTGACGTTAATATTATTATGAGAGAATGGCATCTGTTATAACAGGTTTAAGACTTTCAGCTCTTTATTATAAGTATTCGAAGTCGTCGTTGATTTGTGGGGTCAGACAGTCCTGTCCCAGCGTCTTATTGTCTGTCCTCTGCACAATGATGAGCTCTTGTGCTTTATTTGCGTTGCGGGTGTGCGCTTGTAGCACAAATTCCTTATTTTGAAATATTAAAAGCAGGCTCATGAGAACGTCTTGCTCTGGATGTATGTGTAAGAGTGTGTGTGTGTGTGTCTGTCTGTCTCTACGTATATCCTCCCTTTACAGCTTTTGAACGACTGTACCGATCTTCTTAAAATTTGATTATATATGTCATGCCACCGGTAGCCATCTCAAAGGCTTACGTCATAAATCATTCCCATCAGTAATACCAACACAGAGGCCTCTGAAATCGTTGAGGTAATAACTTTAATGTTACTTGAATGCCTGAATCAATTGTCATGAAATTTGTTATGTATATCATACCATATGAGGGCATCTCCACGACGTGCTTCATAAACCCCTATCATCAATTACACCAACACTAAAAGCTCTGAAATTGTTGAGGTGATGTATCTTAATATTACTTGAATGCCCAAAATGATCGTCATGAAATCTGATGTGTTTATCGTGCCACCTGAAGCCATCTGAATAATGTAATTCATAAATACTTCCCATTGGTATCACAGATATCACGGCCTCTAAAATTGTTAGGGTAATAACCTTCATATCAGTTGAATGTCTGAACCGATCATCACGAAACCATGCCATCTGAGACACTTTCAAACGGCATATCTCACAAATACCGCCCTTGGATAATGCCAGCACATTTTCGTATTGTTTTATTGACTTCATCGTGCGCATATACGACAGTGTTTTTTCTGCTTGTACCTAATACACGACTTATTCATTCATTCATCAGTAATCTATCAGACGACAGGTCCACAGTCTCTTCCAAAACAGTTCCTCCACTTAATGCGATTTTCTGTTTTTGGAAAGAGACTATCCAGGAAAAGTGATAATGTGGTAGTTTTTCCATTTTCTTTCCACATCGCAGTACAACAGCCGTTCAAACCACTCTGGTCACGCCTGTTGCTATACGAACTTGAACCATCTCGAGCATCACTTGCTCTGTGCTTCAAGTCGCTGCTGATGACGCTGCTTCCGGCATCAGTTTTTGGTTTTTGGTGTCTCTCTTCGTCTGATGCCTACCCTTTGACCTGTCCAGCAAGGGAGGCCCTGCCAGTAGCTACGCTACCGCTGGTATAGCTCTCAGGGTCCTTGGCATACTCAAACCCCCTCACCACAATAAGGTGGAGACACAAAGGAGTGGGACACGACTTATAACGAAAGGAAATTAGGTGATTTGTTCTTCTCAGAAATTCCTGTTCTAATTTTCCTCGTGTAGTTTACGTGTCACATATACGTCACGCCGTAAATCAGTCAACTGTCTCACTGCGTCTCATTCTCAACAGATTCGTTTAGACGTGTGATATTCAAAGTAAACAATTATTAACCGCTATAAGCAGCTATGATTAAGGATATTTCTGTATGCAGTAGGCTTATTCTCCAGAACTGTCAAAAAAAGAACTTGCTCACTGTTTTTGAAAGACATATAAATGATTTTTCAGATGCATTTCAATGTTATGTACAAGTGTTCTCTATTACCTTCAAAGTTTTCTGCTAAACTGTGATTGCATTTTTTTCATCTCCCCTACTTCAATAGACCATTCAGTATCAAGTAGAGCGAAAGGAGACATTTGTGTAACGTTTTCAAAGGAGTGAGATCCAAGGATTGGAGCCGCTGTGATCACGTCTTTCTATCTACTAAAGAATTAATAGCACCTTTTGGGCCTCCGTGCCAAAGAGAAAAGCATACGAACTGTATTTTTCTAAACAGAATGTTCTAGAAATAAGAACAGATAAACTTGTACCACCGGCAGCATGCATGAATAAATAAGGAAGGCACTAATAAGAGGGAAGATTGTCCCTGTGCTTAACAAATTAAGCACTACGCCATGAAGACGTATGGGGGATTGGATATATAGATACACGTATCCTTGACCTCGGCACTAGTTGGAGGTGAGAGGTTAGCTTCATACCCCGGCTGCTTTAACCCCGGGGAAAGAGTCCCCGATAACCTTTGCATGGGAGTCTGGGTAGGCCCCAGAGCCGGTCTGGACGACGTGGAAAACAGAAAATTCTTAGCCCTAACGGTACTCGAACTCCAACCCCTCGGTAGTCCAGTCCGTAGCCAGTCGCTGTACCGACCGAAAAAAAACTAATGTAAAGTCAAATTGGCGATGTGGTAATTCTTTGCATCCGCATCCGGGAGATGTTCGGTTACAAATCTAGGCCTAGAAGCCGACTGTGTAGACTGGGGTATATTTTTGGTTTCCCTCAATATTTCGAGACAAATTGCGAGGCAGTATCTGGATCAGGTCACGACCGCTTCCATTCCGTTCCTTTTTAGTTCATGATTCATCACGACATTCAACCATTTAAGTCTGCATAGCTTAGCTACTGGCAGCGTTATAAAATAATCCACAAAACAAGAAGTTCTGGGAAGAACTAATAGCCTACTTTTCTTTTGATGCGACATGGACTGCACAGAAAACGATGCATCCAACAATACTTCTATTGTTGCGTGTGTATTCATTGCTGCTGTAACGTTTTTACTGAGCATCTGCCTAGCAACCACAGGAGGGCTACCAGTGCTGATGGGAGGTTTCATGAAGCGCGCTGTCGAGATGGGCTCGGAAACCATGATATAAATACCAAGTTTTATAAAGATTTGTAAAGGTACTCAAAAGTTAATAGTGGGGGAATGCACCGACGCACAGGCAGATATTTTTTCAAAATAAGGAAAGTGGGCTAATAAATAATTGTGACAAGTAAATTTGTTACAAATCAGTTTTTATTTTCCTATCTCTGTACTAAATTCTTGAGAATTCAAGTGTCTCTGCCGTATAATTTTGCATGTTGTTTTATATGGAGTAGAAATTGTTCTGCCTTAAGGAACGAAATTCGATTGTGGGCATGTGCGAACAGAGTGGTAGGAGGAATATTTGGTCCTGAGAATGGTGAAGTATGAATAAAGGAGAAAGTTGAATGATGAAGATCAACAAAGTGTGTGTTCTTCAACTGATACTAAAGGATGGTTTATTAAAAGCCGATGAGATAGGCGGGCACAAAGCACACAGAAGAAAACACGAGAATATTTAAAATTTTACTGCGGAAACCCCCTTGTAGAAGACACGACTTGGCGAAATATATTCTTACTTGGGAAAATAATATGAAGTAAATTTTAGAGATATGAAATTGTGGACTTCTACACCGAATCTCAGTGGCTCAGAACGTAGATCATGACGGGATTCTCAGAACACCCGCGATCAACATTAGGCTTCCATAGAAACAGAACTTCCTTCACCATTCACTACTATCAGATTCTCAAATACTATAGCGTATATTTGAGTAGTCTTTCGTGAAATGGATCAGGCTGTTTCTAGACAGGTTCCAAACGAGTCTTTTTAAAATATTCCTTTGTTTATTTGGCGTCTGGGAATAGGCAATTCGTTTAACTATCTCAAGAAAATTATAATGAATATGGGAATAGAATTATGCAGTAAATTACTAAATTAAAATTAGGGAAACGGAAAAAAAAGAGGCAGTTTAAAAGAAATCTGATTTTCTGCCTACTACAGCACATTACTCTGTAGATAAATGTGTCATGTTAAATTAGCGGAATACGACATTTGAGTTCGATGGTTTTCAAAAATTGTATCTGTATTGTCTTATGTCATGAAGGAACTTAGCTGATATACTGTATTTATGTTACTTTCAGATGTGTATCTGTTTTATACGTACGCGGTAGCGTAGTGGTTAAGGCACTATGCTACAAGTTGGAAGAAATACCGATGAAGTCATTGGATTTTTTCAATTGACCTAATCCTTCGGGTCGCACTATGGCCCTGGGGTTCACTCAGACCCTAACAGAAATGAGTACCAGGAATTAAATAAATAAGTTTCCTGGTGAGTAGAGCGCGGCCGGCGCGTAAGGCTGACAACCTTACCGCCATCTTTGAGCCGATTGTTTGGATAATGTGGGACCCTCTACGTCTCACAACCCTATGGGCCTTCACGGCCTGTTACAAGGATAGCTTTACTTTTACTTTTTTTTTATATGTGTTATACGTATAAGACGTATCCTATGTCAATAGTTTGGCTACAAAGGGTGAATAAAATTGGACCGAATATTATATGTCATTTTAAAACTTTAATCTTCTACGTCACTTCACTTGAACTTCAGAAATCCTTGTGTGCGTCTCATTTCATTGCTGTTTTTAATACATCAGTATAAGCCCTGTACAATTTAGCATATTATTATAATATCTGTACATAAATTCCCCCCCCCCCAATTTCACTCTTTGAATTTGGCTGTTTTCAGACACAAATAGCCTTGCACCCTGACGTACCCTAAACCAACAGGCAGAGTTCGCGCCATGTTTGTCTATTTTGTTGCAGGTGTGGTTACGCCCATCTGTGTTGTATCCGGTGCCCAGTTTCTTACCCGAGCTGGCTGGGTTGATCTCCACAACAACTCATACACAGAACCGCCATTGCGTCTCTTCAGGGACGAAGGTCGCACGTTCTTGCAGGTACTGCACAGTGCGATTGCATATTATATGAATTTCAAATAATATGATATAAATAATATTAATGAAGTCTCACTTAATGCGCACAGTTTGAAATAATGCAAATCTCCTCCAAAATTTGGCAAGATTCACGTATGTATTTCAAAACTCGTCTTCAATTAGCGAGGTCTTCAAGAATGCATCCTCGCATAAAATGTCTCATTACCGCTAAAACTGCGCCTGCGCAACGCTACCAAGGAAGTTCACCACTTCCGCCAATGGAAGTGGTCCTGATAAATCTGGAGAAACTACTAAGAAAGTCAGTCGTTGTTGAATTCATTGTTTATGTGGAAAATATTATGTTCAGAAATGTGATGCTATGTAGTCTGATAGAGGAATGCCTACGTTTCTTACAACGGCTCATTCTTCAATTCTGAAGACGTAGGCAGCACGTTCATCCGAAACGTCGGTAATCTTATACCAGACTACACGATGTCACATTACGTTTGTCTGGAGGGACTGAGGAAACGCACAGTAAACTTAAATCGGGAAAATTGGTGCACCAGCGGAGATTTGAGTCCAGCACCTCCCAAATATAAGCCACAAGAATTAAGTTTCCTGCTTGAACCAACTTGCTCAGAATTTTCTGTTGATATCAAAGACATTCATGGAAATATTGAATCGTTTTCTTTCATATTAGGGCTTCTTAAATTATTTAGATATCTGTGTCACATATTGAAAGGCTATAAGTTACTGACAAAATTTTATTACAAATAATCAGACTTGAATATGCACTTCAACAATAAGTTGTGCTTTTAACTACAGCTTAGACATTTAATAAAATAACAGTCTCAACACTGTAGCTCTATTTCTTCTATTTACATTACACTCTCATCATAACTATTAATATTTTACATTTCTTTCTTTATAATACTTAACTACTACATCTCTATAAATAGTCTGTATTGGATGGGGTTTGGTCTGTCAGCATACCTTCTTTTGAGAAAATGAGTAATTTTATGCCACAAATATTTTAAGTGATATTGGCCTACCCGTACAATGAATTCTTATCGAGAACAATTTCTATCTCCTGATATCATGTCTTAGTTGTAATGTTGTATTTTAGCGTCCTGTTGCACTAATTCTAGTCCATGATATGTATGTATTGACCCTCTTCTAGTGCACACAATCTCACATGTCACTTCACTACAAGTTTTGGCATCGCTGTGCCATCCTCAGGTGTGTTATTTACATTAGTTGTATTAAATGACATCCCACCCACTTGGAGTTTGGATTAAATATAACCTACAGAGTCAGTGTCTAGTGTGGGTAGTGCCCTTGAAATTGGCTGATCCCTTACCCAGAGTCCTACAAAATGTCCAGAAGATTCACAGTTTCAGAAGTTAATTATGAACTGGAGAAAATTAAATCACTTAATCGGTAAAAGTGAAAAAAGAGCTGGCATTCCTACCAAATGCCTAATATGATGTCAGTGTGAAACACAGCAGAACACAATTAATTATTTTTGTTGTTATGAGTTAATGAGTTTGTAATAAAATATTGTTTAGATTGAGTCGAATATGATATGCTATTAAAACATGAAACAAATCAAATTTCAGTATCTAAAGACTGTACTACTTAAATTTTAGCTACCCACATTTTTTGTTGAAGCATTTCCCATTCAGCAGATATAATGACTATACAGAACGTATCCAGTTTCTCAGATCATTAAGACATATGATTTGCTCAGCTCTGAATGATTTAATGACCCATTACTCCATAATAGCCTTAATATAATAGAATCAATTATTTTACAGTTGCTTTCAATTTCCTTTTGCCTACATATATTCATTGATTAAATGGGACTTTGCAAAAGTAAAATTTATGTTACTATCTAATCAAACTCATCAAGATAATATATTTATTGATGACCATTCATCAGCCTTAGACCACTACTGATACATTTTAATCTTGTCTTTAAAATATCATGTTCATATTAACCAGCACACTATCTCCATGAAGAAGGATCCTTCTAAAGAAAATAAGTCTCTTAGGTTGTAAAGAAATTCCCTACCTTTTATGGAAGTCAAGGATGCATTTTTATGATCACAAGAGTTATCACATGCCTGTTAAAGTTTATTAGTCACTGAGCCAGCCAAAATCTAAGTTGATACAAATCGTTCTCCATCCATAACTTGAAATACATGCAGCATTTATCTGTTGCAGTGGCTAGGAGAAGTGGATCTACGTTTCAGCATGGAGGGCCGTCTCATGCTTGTCCACTTAATGTGCAAGGATGTTGGAAATGGCAAGGGTGGCCAGGACCAAAGCATCTTCACTCCTTGTGTGGCCTTCAGGGTGGCAGGAACACCAAGTGAGTCCAATTCGAGACACTGCAGAAGATCTTCCATGTTCTCTTGAGGCCAACAAAAATGGGGTCTTAAAATATATTATGGTGGGCTCTTCCCCCCCCCCCCTTTTTTTTTTCCTTGGCACTACAGCCCTGGTGGGCCTAGGGTTACCTCCATGAACTCCGTTCACTTCGGTTTTTCTAGATCTTACACATATGGTAGGACTCCTTGGGCGAGTGATCAGCTCGTCGCAAGGCCTCTACCTGTAGACAAACACAGAAAAACGCACACAAACATCCATGCCCTGAGTGGGATTCGAACCCACGATCCCAGCTTCCGAGCGAGCGAAGACAGTGCATGCCTTAGACCGCTCTGCTACCGTGACCGGCACCCCCCCCCATCTTACTTCCACTTTATCATTCGATAAAACAACTTAATTGTCACTATGCAATATTGATAGTTGGCACATTATCATAAAGTAACTAAATGAATAAATATTTGAGATACTGGTGTGAAATGGTTGGTTAATGTGTATGTAGTCAACCAAATGTATTGGATATATGTGACTCTCAAAATAATAGACTATACAACATCAAGTGGTATCATAACATAATATTTCAGAAAGGAAGCAGAACGCAGTAGAGGCAATGCATTATTAAGAGCTACTGGGGCTAACAATCAATTTACTTTAAGAAATCAAGAAATGTATAGTGTTGGAATGACTGAAAATGAAGAAATAATAATGGCTAACTGTCCATGTGTTTCTTATGCTTGATATAAAATACTCTTCTTGTGCTTATTTCAATGGTTGTAAGAAGGTGCACATCTGAGGTGAAAGTTTGTTGTCAAAAATGCAGAATGATAGGAAATATGGACTGAAGGAAGAAAAAGGATGAAAATTGAATGAGGGAAATAGATCATTCTCAATTTTGTGATGTAAGATGAACAGTGAATTAAGCATAAGTGAAGAGAGTAGACCTGTATTGTGTTAATACTACATAGATGGCGTCAGTATTAATGATCAGAAACACTTCTGAAAGCATGTGAAAACCAACCAATTATCTGCTCTCCATATTCACATTTATGTGAATTTTAAAACTTTTAGCTTCTGTGATAGTTTTGCCCTGCTAATTTATAGCTACTGAGCTTCTGTCTAGTGCCACAAATTAATGGACGTAATTAACTGCATTTAATTCTGTAGACTGCAAGAGCTACAACTAATGGGTCATAATGGAAAAGAGGTCTCTGACAATCTGGCAATTTCTTGGATTTGCTATAAGCCCCACAACTAATGGGTCATAATGAAAAAGAGGTCTCTTACAATCTGGCAATTTCTTGGATTTGCTATAAGCCCCATCATACATTCAGTCCACAAGCAGCTATTGGATGAACATGAACATGGCCTCTCTGAGCACTTGTTTAGAGTAGTAAGGGTAACCATCAAAACCCCTCAATTAGAATAGCAGGTCTATGGGCTGAGATTCAAACCCAGAACCTAATTACTCCACTGCTACAAACAGTAGAATCAATATATTAATCACAGAAGCAATAATGTAATAATGAAACAGCATAAGAGGTCAATGTGATGATAGACCTAAACTGAGCAAAGTCTCAATGTTGTTATAACATTTTGTAAGTCATTGTTAATATGCTCAGATGCATACGAGTGCAGGACATCGTAGCATAGTGGGTGAGGCCCATTTATTAATTGACTTACTCCATTTAGCAAAGTCCTCTTGAGAGACTAATAGTCACTAGCCTGGTCAAAAAATTCCTGCCTCTTGTGGAACCTGAAGATCCATTACTGTGTTTACAAAAGCCCGTCATTGGACCTTACCATGAGACATTTTAATTCAGTCAATACCTTCACATCCTATTTACTTGAGTTCCATTTTTAATTTTAGCCTTACATCCGTGCTAAGTCTATTCTTCAGGTATCGAAACTAGAACCTTTTCAAGTAACTGTCTGTATTTTAATAGGTGTTCGAGAGTGGTCATTTGGAGCAGATGTCCATTCCACAGTTGGTGATGGTCGGGGACTCAGTGTGACTGAGTACATTGCCATTGGAGTATGTTCCATCCTGCTGGGACTAATCTATGTGGCATCAGTGTTCCTATACCTTCACGTAAGGAGACGCCGTAGAGAGAAGCTGCGGGACCACCACAACGGACAGCCTGTTCACCTCTCTGTGCCTGAGGAGGGGGTAGTGAAGAACAACCCATTGCTCTCATCAAAGAGGCACCCCCTTGAAACAGGCAGCTACCTTAGTGACTCAGCCAGCTGCTGCTCGGAAACTGATGCAGTGTCAGACATTGCTCCAACATCTGATGACAGCAACAGGATGCCTCAAAATGTCAGTGTGCACTTTCTTCTGGATGTTTTCTAGTTAGATATGCCCAGTTTGATCAAATTTCAGTCAGAATAAATGCAGGTCTGTATTTTTATTAGTCAGAAATGAGCACTTTGGGAACTTGGGCATAGATGGGAGAATAATATTAAAATGGATCTTTAACAGACAGTGTGTGAGGGTCTGGACTAGATTCAATTGGCTCAGGCTGGGATCTTGTGGGGTGTCAAGAACATGGTAATGAACCTATTGGGTCCGTAGGAGGCAGGAAATGTTTTGAATAACAGAAGTACTATCAGTTTCTCAAGAGGGCCTCTTCTTAAAGCAGTTAAATTGTTAGTTGTCTCCTTAGAATCCACCTGATAAGCAGCAGGGAAAGAAAGGACTCTGTAAAATGAATACAAATTCTAGACTTTGACAAAAAGGAAGCAAACAAAGAAAAGGAGAAGCAACAAACATAAGGTTTCTGAGTGCAGTGGCTGGATGCACTACAGATAAGTAAGTAAGAGATACAACAGTAAAAACCTGGTTGAAATTAAATCAAGAATAAGATGATGTAGGTTTTCAAAACACTTAAGAAAAATGTAATATTTGTGTGTTCTAAGAATATTTCATAAACATAAATCAAAACAGACACATCAGATGAATGTGTCAAGTGGTTAGCACTTGATCATGTTCCAAAAAACATTCTTTGGAATTTTGAATCTGAAGCAAGCTATTCTTACTAAGAACTTCATGGGTCTACTGAGAAAGTCTATGATGGAATCTTAACACGGACATGACTTCTTCCTTCCACATTCTTTTCAATTCATCATTAGTAATCATTCTACGAGTATAAACCAACATTTCATTACCTGTGCACTTCGAAAGGTTAGTTAAATGAATATTCAGTGCAAATGACAAACCAAAGAGGACCATTTATGTAATGTAGACACCTCTTGTAACATAGTTCATATGGATAAGAGGTTTAAGTTTACTCAACTACTGAGGTTACATATGACTGTCAACATTGTTAACAAGTCAAACAAACTTGGAGCAGATATGTACACATGTTTGCCAGGTGCATGCTTGGCATACCCCACTGGTCAAGGTAGTCCTGTATTATTGCAAAGGCAAAATTAATCACTGTCCAGCTCTATGAAATGTTAATAGTTACACAGCTGGTGAAGAAATATCCTGTTGTTATTGAACCAAATTGTACATCACTTTGTTAACAGAACTGAATCACTGATACATATTCTAAGCTAGTTGGGAAGAGACTACTTAGAAGACCTGGGCATAGAAGAGATGATAATAGTAAAGTGGGTCCTTAATAAATAATATTTAAAGGTGTGGACTGGTCTGAACTGGCTCAGGCTGTGTTGCAGTATTAGACTGTTACAAAAATAGCAATGAACCTTCAGATTCCATAATTGGTAGGGAATCCTTGAAAACTAAGTGATTGCCAGTTTCTAAAAAATGACTCTGCCCCATGGACTTAGTCCAGAAAAAAAACTAATGTTACATAGACATGTACATAACCGATAATAACAACATTTGTTATCTCTAAAAACAAATTTAAAAAAAAGGAATTGTGAATGACTGATCAGTAATGTGAGGTATATTTCATGTTCATAACATATATTTCTTACATGGAAACCAGGGTTCTAAATTTTAACCACTGTATGGAAGGAACAATTTGGCAAAGTGAAATCTCAAAACCTAGTCTTCAATATGCTTATTACAAAGCATAATAAGATATTTGCCACCAAGGGCTCTGCAGCTTGTGGAATATGAAACATTGTTTTTGGAAGTTAACATTTAATTCAACAACACAGTCTTTCTTAAATACCTGTCAGTCAAACAAAATAATCCATACTGTCATAACACGTTTTAATATTATCATCCCAGTGAGTCTGAGGTTTCCAAGAGTGCGATGTATATATATTCTTCCACAAAACTCTTCTGTACTTCCTGTTGCCACATATCCTGCTTTCCTCATACTTCATAAAATCCTTTCCAAAACTAGTTCAGCCCATTTTATATCTCTATAAGTGGTTTCTATGAACATACCTCATTATTTTTCTTCTATCCACCGAGGTCAATGAAGCAGTTTCTTATAATGAGGTGTGAATGCATGTCTTGTTTACTTGTGCTTATCTTATTCTTCTTCATTTTAACAAAATATAAAGACATTCCTCTTTGCAGGTTCAGGTGACGGCAGCACTGGTGCATTCCTGTGGCATGTCATTCTCTTTGCAACCTAATGAACTCTGCTTCTCAGAGTCAATTCAAACGCAAGAACCAAGTTCCATCGAACGATTACCAGAAGAGAATGTATCCATAGTAGAGACACTGGAGGGACGAGAGGAAAGACCAGAGACCGTCCGAGCCATAACAAATGGCACAGCTAGAAGAAAACTGTATTTCAATCCTGCATATTTTGAGCCAGAGCTACTCGTTGTAAGTAAATTATTTCTGAACACAGTATTTCATTGATGTTGACCTACTTTCACACTTTTTCCAAAATGCCTTTTGAAACTTCTTGAATGGTGTCTTCTGTCACTATGTACTCCTTGATTGCCCCCTCAAAGGTATCTCCACCTTGTCGTGGTGATGGGGCCTGCATGACTCTGTGACCTGGAGAGCTATGCCAGCAGTAATTTAACTACAAGTAGGGTCACTCATGCCGGAAAGGTCAAAGGGTAAAGTCCAGACTAAGAGAGATACCCTGGTCCTCCAGGTTGGGGGTTGGACATGAGGCTTACAACCTCATCCTGTAAAAAAATTTTGTTCAGAAACCTAACAGTGAACCTCGGGTCATCATGTGTCAGTCCATTCCTCACCCAGGGCTGTAGCGCTGAGTGGTAGGTAGGCACTCCTTGATTGAGTAAAGCTTTCCATGAAAACAATAATATGCATACTGGCTACCACACACAGCATGCAATGAACTGTGACAAAATGGGTGGAACAGTCCATGCTACAGGTTTATGGGTGACAAGGTATGGTTTTACAAGGACTGGGGTATGTATGAACACCATTTATTCACCACTGATGAATAAATACAGTTCTACACTGTAAGCTTGTCACCTCCAGTGAGAGAATCAATTGAATCTTCAAGATATGGATTGGTTTCATCTGACTCAATACAGGGTCTAATGCAGGCTCCTGTAAACTTGTGTAATGAATTTGATCTGTTTCATTCTGGTCCGTCACACCAACAATTACAAAGACAAAACAACTCCATCCAGTGTGACTATTTAGGTTTTTACTACTTGAAAAATTAGCACCCTTACATGTTTCGGTCTTTACGGACCATCTTCAGGGGGAAAATCGATACTTATTTGGAAACTACTATCACAGTGGGTGTTCTGAGTGCTAAAATACATACACACACAATGCCTGCAATGCACAATATACACAATATCCAACTTTTCCACAACCACAGCAGCTTTCATGGTATATTAAAGTTTTTAAAATTTTGCTGTTTAAGTTAAAATTTATAAACCAAGTAGGTTCACGTCCCTTCTCCTATCGTCTTTCTTGATGGGGGCAGTAGGAGAAGGGACACGAACCTACTTGGTTTATAAATTTTAACTTAAACAGCAAAATTTTAAAAACTTTAATATACCATGAAAGCTGCTGTGGTTGTGGAAAAGTTGGATATTGTGTATATTGTGCATTGCAGGCATTGTGTGTGTATGTATTTTAGCACTCAGAACACCCACTGTGATAGTAGTTTCCAAATAAGTATCGATGTTCCCCCTGAAGATGGTCCGTAAAGACCGAAACATGTAAGGGTGCTAAGTTTTCAAGTTGTAAAAACTTAAATAGTCACACTGGACAGAGTTGTTTTGTCTTTGTGTAATGAACCTACATGTTCCAAAGATGATGGGGAATTTCTTGACCAGCTGAAGGCCTCTTGCCTTCTCTAGAAGAATTTGATCCCATAGTGCATTATTAAAGTGTGGTGTCAATTCTGTCACAATTCATACTTGGAACTTTTATTATGGTTTAAGTGATTACAACTCCTGTTTATGTACAGGCTCCACCACCAGCTGCTCTTGAATTTCTTACAAAGATCCGAGAGGTGATTGCCATCGCAAAGCATAAAATGGTGGCAAAACGGTTCTCTCCCACACTGATGGGAATTCCTGAAGAGGAGCAACTGCAGCAGGAAGGCCCACCTGGATCCTGTTATGGTGGACGTTCCAGCAGATGTGATAGTATAAGTACTGTCAATCTTAAGCGGGAAAATAACCGTCGCCGGGGATGTTCTGGATGTCCTGGATGCACCATGGGGGCTGCTGAAAACATGCCAGCACTTGAGGAACAGGCAGCTTCTTGCCAGGCCTGCTGCAGTCCTGAGAGCAAACAGAACAGCATCAGGAAATGGCTAGAAGATGTTCCTGTTGTAAAGATATCTGCCCAAACAGTGTCGAAGGACAATGCTTCAAATCTCTCAAACCCAACTGACCGTATAAAAGCTTCTCACAAAGGCAAAGCTCCTAGCATACCAAAAACTGATGACGTTCCAAAGAGAAACAAAGCTGTGGATTCAGCAATTCTTGCCATACCAAATGTCAAACACAGTAATGGTAAGCTTATTCCTCCACCTCCACCGCCACCATCAAAAGTATTACAACACACAAAGGATGCATCAGTAACATACAAAGAAACCAAAATGCAGCCAACACTTATGAAAAGTTTACCTTGTCCTCCCCCACCACCACTTCCATCCTCAACCATAAGTGATAAAAACACCAATGTTTGCAGTAAGGACAGAAATAAAGAAGCAGTGGAGCCTGTCATGACAAAGCAGTTGATGGATGCAGTAATAAAAGAACTAGTGGGTCAGCGTGGCCTTGAGACTATGAAGTCTTATGAAATGGATGTACATCTTAGGTCTCTAGCCAACACTCCCGATGATCAAAGAAGATCTTCTGGAGAAGACTATGAAGCTGACAGCCTGGAGCGATCATCAAGAGAGATGGATGGAAAAGGTATCTCTACTCCAACCGAATATGGGGATGTGTCACCACAGCCAAGCCCAACCTTAAGTTCAGCACTACCTCTTGAAGAAGTACTCACAATGAGGAATGAGATCTTCAATATCCAGACAGGAAGTAAAACAATTTCCAAACTGAAACTAGAAAACAATAAAGTTTCAAAAGAAGCACCAGCTGATGATCATGAATATGAAATTATTGTGCTGAATCCTGATGCAAATATAGGCAATATGAGCAAAGATATTAAGTTGTACAACCTTCCACAACTGCTGAACCATACTGATGGATACAGCCTTGTCAGTGAAGTATATGTGAATGATGGATACAATTTCAGCAGTGCATCCAATTCGCCAAACAATACCACTTCTAGAAGCACTAATGGCCCTAAGATCCAATATGCTGAACCCATGGAGAAGCCTGGACATTTAACCATCCAGGTGGAAGATTCCCCAGAAAATTATATTCCTCTCCCTGATGATTCTGACAGTTTCGAACCAGATACTCTCGACAGAAAGACAAATAAATACAAAATAGATGAACCAACTACCGCAACCTCATATTCAAGCAGACATGCGGAGAACTTCAACGACTCTCTAGAGAGGCCAGTCCAAATACTTCTTCGTACTACTGGCAGCTTTAGAAGCGATTCTTTGAGTCAGACTGGATCAGATGATCTGTCTCAGATCTTGTCTGCATCTCCATTGCATAGAGCATTTGGCAGTCTCCGTGAGATATATGAAGCACGCACCCAACATCGTACTGACATGGACACTGTCAGTCTCATGGGTTCTACACGATCTTTGACAAGCGAACGGGACTTCAACCATACACTGTCCTGGAAACGTGGTCACCACATACTGCCAAGAGAAGAGATAATCCTGAATCCAGAAGCAAAGCAGGCAAAGCGACAGAGGCCACCAACACCACCAGGAATGCTAAATGGTCTTCACAAACCTGAACCTCCTGACATCATACCACCACTACCTCCCAAAGCTATTTCTCTGTATGAAGACCCACCACCTCCACGTCCTCTGTACAAAATCGAACTAACTCCACCCTTACCTCCAAGGTCCATCAAACCACCACTGCCGCCAAAAAACGGGGCTGGCAGAAGCATCAGCCAGAAGAGAATGGTATCTGATCCTGCTCGTAGGCCCTTACCTCCTCTACCACAGTCTAAATGTCATGAAGAGAGCAATCCCTTCTCCCAGGACATTTCCACCATCTCCTCCACATCTACAACAGCTTCGTGCGATGTAGAAACAATTTCAAATTTGTCTGGTGCTTCTGTGGACAGCCTCAACTCCTCTGACTATGAAGCATTCTACATGACACCCTTCTCAGGAGATGAGGAACAGGATGGAAGCCAAACACTTGGACATCGGGTAGAAAGAAGTTTGAAGAACAAATTCTCAAACTCTAGAGATACTGAAGTCAACAGTGAGTTCATTCTCCAGTCTGCTGAAACTAAGACTGTACAAGGGAGTGCATCAGCTACAGCCAAAAATCTCAGAAAGGAAATGGGAAGTGATGATGGTCTGTTAACTAGTCAGCAAAATGTAGGAAAAGACTTGGTGAAACATATGAGAGACAAGCAGAGCTCAGATTCGGTTAAAAAGACATGGCGTCGCATGGTTGAAAAGTCAGTAACCAAAGTGCCTCACAAGCCAGAGGACTCCGGTTATCTCAGCACTGACTCAAATGAATCCAGCAGACACACACAGATAAGAAAAACTGTGGAGGGACAAAATTCGAGTCAAGGACATGGAAGTGTGAGTGAGACTGATGAATCTCTGTGTGATGGTGCCAGTGAATCCGGTGCAGAGAGCATTGCAACAGACTCTTTCTTTTTCGGTAGTTTCCGGAAGCTCTCAACGTGTGCTGTGGTTACTGAGTCTGTTGACAGTGGGGTGGGATCAGACCTGATAAAAGCGATAAGCAAATCAGTGCTACTGGAAGATGCAGGAGTCAGCAGCAGTGACTCTGAGAATGTAAGCTTTGTGACTGTTCTGCCCCCAGGTAGTGGTCACCGAAGATCAGTACGGAGTTAGTAATTAAATACCTAGTTACTCAACTTCTTCAAGTATGGTGTTTAGTTTGAAACATTTCAAACAAATGACTAAAGCTTATGAACAGAATGTAGATAATATATTACAAATTATGTATGCTCTTCTAATAGCTATGCAGAAAGTAGTGTGAAAAGAAAGACAATGAATTTGTTAACTCAGTTTCAAACTTCTCTGTACATTTTATTTGTAATTCCACACTTGTATATATGTACATAATAACTTGTAATAACTTATATACATGTATACAAATGTAGTATTTTGAGGGCCGAAAGTGCAATCTTGTATATAAAGGCATGCAGCATCCATGCCAACTTAATGTTAAGGAAGACTGTTTTTTATATTAATGTTAAAAATGTATGAACTCCTTATAGTGAAATGAGCTTTATTACTTATGAAAGTAATATTAAATATAATATAAGAGATTGTAAGTAATTGTAAATAAGTCACTGTTGCAACAAAGATGATATTTGTATTTATTGCTAGTTTTTTTGTTCAAGTTTTTAGAGTTTAACATGGTTAAATCTGCTCCCATTGGTAATCACACAGGCTTCTTGCACCTGTTCCTGCTTACCATGTATCAGTATACCGCACAAGTTTCTGTGCATATTCGGTTTACATTAGAAAACACACCAAGTTTTCCTTGTCATTGGTATTATATGCTGTATAAGAAAGTTTAAAAATAAGACTCAACTAAACTAACAGTAATGTAAAACCCATAAAACTGTGTTGCATTAAAATATATCATTACTCACATCTGTACTGCAAATAACATACCTATGACAATAAATAACACACTTTTAAGAGAACAATATGTTTAACATTTTGATTGACATGGCTATCTAAAGTCACTTACAGAGCAGGTAAGTGAAGCATGGTTAGAAAACTGATGTCAGTCCCGTAAGTGTTAGAGGATACTCTCACTTCCATTGCTATCTTACTGCCACTGCAGAGGGCAGAAATTGTCCATGGTTGCTTGACAAAATGATGATGCTCAAGACTGAATGCTGTCACTGATAAAACCAAGAAGATGAAGTTGTCACTGTACCTAATTAATGAAGTACTATGCCATGAAGACATATCAGAGAGTGGAGGTACAGATCCACCATTTTTAACCTCAGCACTAGATGAAGTTTAGCAGTCAGTTCCACACATTGACAGTATTATCACTGTATGAATATATTTTTATATATTTTTCCATGTTTTTACACACAGCGAATAAAGTGAGTGGAATTATGTGTATAGTTATTTACTTAGCATATTGATTTGGTAATAAATACATTTTGAGTGTAGTGAAATTTTAGCCATCTCCAATTGTAATGTAAAACTGTTATCAAATGCTAATAATGTACTTATGTATACAGTTGAGTGATATAGTACAAATGAATCATTAAAATTGTGAAGCTACTTGCACCACATTAACATTTTGATGCGCAATCTGTGGATCATCAACAAAATCTTTGAGCTCCTGCTCTTGTCAGGGTGGAGGAGCAGAACAGAAGAGATACAACTTCATTACTGCTTCAGAGAGATAAAACAGTGCTGTCACACAGTCACACCACAAAAGAAAAAATCGTTAGTAAATAAATATCATGTTAAAATATCAAATATGTTCAGAGCTTCTGAAAACTTGGCTAACAATAGGTCTTGGGAAAGCATTAGAGAAACTTAAACTTTATCCATTCTTGTCCGTCACACTAGTAAACTAAATTACAGAATAACTGATAACACTGTCCTGTGTGATTCAATTTGTAGATATTTACTGCCTTTACACATTTCAGTCAGCTGTGACCAGCTTCAAAAGGCATGTGACCAACTTGTGTCATTGTAATACTTACTCAGAAGCCATTATATAAAAAACGTTATCTACAATTAAATAGATTAAGTATCGTATTAATGTCTAATATTTAAGATTTTGAACACATGTGGTTTGTGTCCTTGTGCCCCTTCTGCTAAAATGAAAAATTGGGGTTTTATTTGGCATCCTCAGAGGTCCATGCAGTGATGCGTCCTTTTCTGGCTTTTTTAGATTCTGTGTTGTGAAGTCTAATTGTTTCCTTCTTGGCTGTATTTAGAGGCACAGAGAAAAATGTGCATCTGTTGTAAAAAGGGCAGAAAGGTTCTTAGATAACCCTGAAGCCAAGGACTAATTAAATATGACTTCGAATGGCCTCTACTGGTGGCAGTGGCGGCACCACCACCACTGTTGTTATCATTGGTAAAACAGCCCTTTTTGAGCCACAGTCTTCCTTATAAAATTCTGCCAGATTTGATGTGGTTTTCACTTCTTTCTATTTGACAACAATGAGCATTGACAGAGCAAAATCACAGCCTTGCAACTAACCCCCAACCTGGAGGACCAAGTCTCTGTATTTGACAGGGTGGCCCAGTTATACACTCAAGCACAAGGTTCACTTTTTGTCATCTTCTATGACTCGCTGTGCTACAGTAGAGGTACTTATCTCACCTCCACATAGTACCTAACAGCATAATATTAATATTAATTTTTATAGAAACTGGTTGGGTGGTTTGGTGGTTGGTTGGTACAAAAGCTGAAATTAAGGTACACATACTGACAGCATAGTAAATTTATTAAGCCTACTTTATTCTGTCAAGAAAGAAAGCAGAAAAAAAGGCTACATATACATGGAAAGCACAAGAGAATACAGATGAAGATGATTCAATTCATGTTCATTTACGTGCAAACTTAACCGCACAGAGGCCAATTACAAAGTTAGCACGAGTACACAAAAATAATTACAGAACATAATACAAAATATGAGTCTATATAATGACAATAAATTAATAATAATTCCAAGAAAAATTAAAGTTAGTGTTAACAGGTGAGTAAAATCAAATATGTACATTTTCAATGGTTATGCCATTTTGTGTCAAGAAAGAACAATACACGTAATAACAATAACTCAATTAATTTTTACTTCTCTGTGCTAACACATCCAAATAATAATAATTAAATTCAATTCGTGTTTATTTGCATGTAAACTTAAAGAGGCCAATTACAAAGTTGGCACGAGTACATAGAAATACACAAAATAACTTTAAAAAATTATAATAATTGCTCGAGCTGTACGGACGTGTCGTGGTTGTGATCCCACCCGCTTGAGTGCCTGGTGTCTCTGTGTGCTGCTGGTTAGGTATGGCCAGTAAGGACCTCTGTCCACTTTGTGAAAAGCCATTTTACATAAAACAAAATTCTATTCACTGTGTGGTGAGTGCAACTGGCACTTTCATTGTAATTGTTTGCCTACTTGTGTGCCGGGGACCAATGTTGTGAATGCATTCATGGGTAAGTCCACTTACAAGTCTGACAGTTGTATGAAACTCATGGGGGATGCCGCAAACGAACATTCCTTCTGCAAGAGTAACCAGAAGGAAGCAATTTCCGCAGAGCTACAGTGTACTGCTTCATGTATAGGGGATAAAGATTTTCTCAATGTGCAGCTGAAAACAGTTCACGCTAATGGCTTCTCTACCTTGGAGACTGTACAATCTTTAGTAGTGATGGCGTCAAAACTAAGCAGTGAAGTGCAACAACTTAGAATCGACAATGAAACCATGAAGGCACAACTGCGCGAACTACAACAGGAGCCCACACATGTGCAATCAACACAGCATGAGGCTGCTACATCTGCCATAGCTTCAGCTAGATCATACAGGGATGTTGTGTGTGTAGTGGATGGTAAACCTAGTGTCGCCAAGGTCACAGCTCCTGCTATAAATTCACTTCCTGAGCCATCCGTTGTGATGGGTGAAAACCCTTCGAGTGACGATTATGTAATGGTAGTTAAGAAGAAGCAGGTAACCTCGCCTCCTGTAAACACTGCTGTTACCAATACCACCAAGAAACCCAGGGTTGCCATGATCGGAGTGAGCTCTTATTCTCTCTCTGTTGTGCAGAAGAGAGTCCATATGAAGTCCCTTTATGTCTCTCAGTTTTCCCCAGAGGTAACAGCATTTGATGTTGAGAAATCATTAAATGATCAATTGCAGCTTGCTTCCCTTGCTTGCAACAGATTAAAAAATAAACACAATTCGTATGCATCGTTTCATGTCTCCTTTAAAGATGATGATTTTCATCTTATTAATAATACTGGAGTCTGACATAACAGCTGTTTAATCACTCCTTTTTATGGGCAATTGAGTCCTGACCAAATTTACACTATTGCAGCATCACAGACTTCTCGGCCTGTGCACTCTCCTTATTCCAAATTTGTTCATATAATTTCCTTTTCCTCGGTGTCAGTTCAGAAAGCAAAGCCAAATTAAGTTCTTTCAGCAGAGAACGCCTTGCTCTGGGCTTTGAGGAGGAACTTTGACACCTGATATGCCTGAGTGCCCCATCAGAAGCATATATATTTTCAGAGCCTAAGAGAAGGGAGGTTTCTTTCGCTGGCAAAATGTTGGCTGCTGTTGGTGATAATTGGATTGCAGACATTTTAAAGGAAGTGGAAGGACTGTCTGCATGGACAGGAACAGGTGCTACAGCAGAGGGCACAAGTGTCTTGCTGTAGGTTCTGGTGGGCGGTAGGACATTAAGCTCACTTTCAGGAGTTAAACCTGAAGGCAAGGGATCAAAGGAAGAGGTGTGTAATGAATGACCAGGAGGTTGTGGGGGTGACTGTGCAGCAGAATCTGTGCCATATGGAACTGCAAATCTGTTAAGGTGTACCCTTTCTGCTGTGGTGAAATCACTTTCAGAGAAGTGTTTGCTGCACAAAACTTTATGGTACAGCATTGTAGCAGAATCAGTAGTACAGGATAACCCAACTCTTCCTGCCCATACCATAGCCCTGTAAGAGTATTACATATTGTCTCAAAACCTTGAAATAATTCATCAGTAAACATTACAACCATGGTGTAGGTGCTACATCATGTACTAAAACATTCATTCATTTATTTACTTTCCATGAATCCTTACATGGCTGGAAGAACAGTGGCTATAGTAATAGTCAAAGACAACAGGACAATTCCCATCAATTATATATATAAAAATTAACTATACTTAATCCATAACAATTACACATATTATCAAAGACAAATCACAGTGACTAAATCATTAACACTGTTATAAAATATATGTGAAAGAATGCAACACACTAATGACAGAAGACTATAATAATGAAACATAAAAGTATACTACTAGGCATCCAGCATATAAGGGATCAGTAATTAACATTGAAGTTAAATTATTCCTCCAATGAGTAAAATTAATTTACCCTTTGGTATCTATCTTTGAGATAGGATTTTATCAATGCACTGGCCTTACCAACTATTCCATAAAATTCTACTTTAGACAGAGAGGCAGATGGAGCTAGACAAACAGATATTGACACAGGCAAAAGTTTTCTTCAAATCACAGAAAATGGAAACGACATTATTGGTATTCATGTTGTCCAGCTATTGTTCAAAATTATTATTAAAAGAATCTGTAATCACATCATGATTATCAGTTAACTTCCCATCAATGTTTAAAAACTGTACACCTGCATTATTAATTTTTCTACCTCTGTCTGATTTTATAATGCTCCAGGTGGTTTTCAGTTTGTTACTAGAATTAGAAATTAATTTAATGAAGATTTTTACCTCCTTTAATAACACTGGCCAAAATTTTACAGTGAGATCTGGCTCATACCGCGCTGAATAACTGGGAAAATAGAAGAATTTAATTCCAGTTTACTCACTGGTGGCCATGCACCCTGGCGCAAAACACTTATGCTTCCTTCCCATTTATCCTGCAAGAAACAATACAAAAATTATAACACAATCACTGTACACACTCACCTTCTTCGAGATTCTACGGTGCTAAGAAGGCTACACCGAAAGATGCTTATAATACAGAAATATGATTTGGATGAGGTGTCGTAGTAACACTTTCTGACTTCGTATTTGCTTCTAATTTCACCGGGCGTAGTATGCATAATCCATACAAAAAAATAACACGCATATGTTAATTCGTGCGTAAATGTCGATTCTCGTTTCACAGCATCAAATCAAAATCCCTACTTACTAATTAATTGCACGACATACCTCAAGAGCGCACACAAAACCTCACGAACTACGCAGCATTACGGCATTATTGCGCCAAATCTCAAAGCGGTCAAAACGCTCAACGGAAATTCAAGTTCCTCTGATTGGCTCACACTTATGCGATTCGACTAATGTCGATAGGTGTATAATGATCGATTCCCGTCATTACCAGACTATCTAGTTCATGTAGGATGCGTAGAGATGGCTGGTCTGCATGTTTCTGTGTCCCCTATGGGAGTTTCGCTCAAGATCTTCAAGATGTTCGAGATCGAGCTGACTGGCCCATACCCCAAGTCCCGTAAGTGCAGATGACCTGTGCTCCCAATTGTTGCTTAATGTAATTGTATCAGGGCTTTGTACTACCTTAATGACCATTCCCTCTGCATAGCGTTCCACATTCTGGAAAATTATAGTCCATCAGCAGACCTGTTCTTCCCACATTATTCAAATTTAGCCACATATTAAGTGCCTAATTAGCAACTGATAATTTGAAACGAGACTGGTTAACAACTAAGTGATTTGAGGGTCTCAAGGAATTGTTTTGGAGCCTGCCATCTTCTGGGATGTGACGACGTGGTGTTCGGTTGCTAGTCACTGGCTTTTGAGGGAACGAACTCCCACCATCTTTAGCATAGACGTGAAACTTCAGTTCACAAATATTCGCCCTTGCCCTGAAGATGAGGGGCGCTCCTGTTCAATTTAGTGATTTTGAACGTGTGTGGATTTAACAGTCGGTAACCATTTTGCCGACTGAGCATGGCGTCTATACTCCAGATCACAATCTCCGAGATAGAGCGATAGATAGCAGGACAGTACAATGCTATCAGTAGTAGTAGTAGTTTGTGTTGCATCTCATTCCAATATCTGTTCTGTTACCATATCTCGTAGCATTTGTTTCGTCATGTTTGCCGGTTATAAATGTGCATGAGGCTGATCGTGTATTTATTAAGTTCAAGAAGCAATTATTTTTATTTTAATGTGGTATAATGTAAGAAACAATTGCAGTCAATTTTTAATCAAATCACTGCAGTAACTGTTTTAAAGTGACAATGTATTACAATAGTTTGCCACGAATTCCTTTTAGCAGCCGTCCTATTAGTACAGTATTGCGAGCGAAATATTTCTTGTTTTCTAAATGCTATTTCTTGGGTAGTAAATTTCAAGCCCAAGTTTTGAAATTTTATTCAGCATTAATGATAAATACACCAAGCACTGTTACCGTGCATGACTACCATACATCAAGGTGTATGCACGCTCGTGATACACTGTTGTGGTACTTCAAACAAGGCGTGCAGAGATTTCCTCTGTCCCTGAAAGAACAATCAGTGCAGATTGTTAGAGTGTGTACACAACAGTGTGAATGGGTCTTGGCACATAGAATTAGAAGAGGCCAACAGATTTTTAGTCTTTATAGCAAGCTGTGGGATGAAGTAGCTTTGAAGGAACTTATGAAGAAAATGCGACATCAGTTGTCCAGGAGAGGAAAGGAATTTCTTTTGACTGCTGCTGGAATGTCGGTGTTCAATTGGGAAGAGGAAAGAATTCCTGATGAAGAGGTTTTGGGGTCAGTATTTGGGTTCATTTATAATAGTGTACAATCATAATAATTATATACTTTTATGTTTCCATATACTGTACCTTTAATTATAAGTAAAAACGTCTTATCTCACTTTATACCCCTCACCTTTCTTGTTTTCATGACAAATTCTCGTGTGGGTGATGTTAAAATATTCACCAGAGAAGTAGGCTAATATATTTCTGCAGATTGTTGGAAGTCATACATATTTGAAACGTTTTAATGGTAAGGAGAAGGAAACTTGTGATACATACATATGCATTTCATTAATTCAACATTCATCCATTGACGGGTGAATATGAAACGTGGAAGGAGATGTACGTTGCACAATTCAACTTGAGCAAAAGAGATATTAAACAATAATATACACACAGTACATAAACAACAAAGTAAGTAAAGAAGCTAGTATAACAAACATGAATATAAGTGCTCCAAAAATAGACAATACTTAGGCTGTTCAATAAATATCAGAGGGTGTATTACACATGTATTTACTGTGTAAATTCTGAGGTTTCTCTGGTTGTGATTATTAGGTTGTGGCCTTCTGGTTTGTGACACCATGTAGTTTTGTCCCTCATTGAGGATAAACCAGTTAAGAGTGCTTCCTCCAAAATGATACTTTGTACACAGCCCTCAAAAGAAAGAACAGGGCTGTTCCCTCATCTCCCATTCACCAGAGCCCTGTAAAGAGATGATAATTTTCCCGTTCTCAGTTTAAATTTCTTTCCTGTGAGAAAGACTTATGATGGCCCTGAAAGAGGGCCTTTTTTGTCCATTTTCCACACCATTCTTCTTACCTCCTGAAAACAATATTGCAGCCCAGCAAAAATCTGTACTTTCTCACTGTTCCAATTTCCAAGTGACAGTAAACCAGCGAGCCCCTGGTAAGGTCAGTCTCTTATCCATCATTTTCTCATAGTTTTGTACCAGGTTCCTTTCTTTACCCTCCTTGGATCCCATGAGCACCTTCATTGTAACTTACCCATATGAAATATGACAAGCCTGTTCATAAACCTACCTACTGCAGTCCTGAAGATGGAGGCAGCAAGTTCCTCTGAATCCTCAGTGTCTGTCCACAGAACTACAGAGTGTCACAACCCAGAAGACCATGAGCTTAGCTGTATTTATTACTTCAGTATGTTCCAAAACAGAAGGATTAATAGATGCTTTGCTTCTGCATGTAATCACCAGGCCAACTGAGACAATTGCCCTGTGATACACCACATGTTTAATGCCTCTGGAGGGGAAATAATGGCTCAGTATTTGCACACACTGACATACCTCAGCTTTCATCGCATCATCATGGTAGAAGTTTTTCCCTTTTAAGTACTTTCTCAGTGGCCCACAGAAGTGGAAGTTGATAGGGGCAATGTCTGAACTGACTGGTGGATGGAACAAATATTTCCAGCCTACGGAGAGGTTATTGACAGAATCTAGGGACACACATGGCATTCTTCTTCTTCAGTTCTTGGACCACAGTGCAACAGTGTGGTGCCTAGAAAAATCATTCCAAATGATACACTAAACCCTAGCATCTTCTGCTCTGGAATAAGACTGGTTGTTTCTCACTGGGACAAATGCGTGAGTCAGTCTAGCAATTATATGGAGAAACAGATGGTTTTTCCATTATTTGTTATGTTCAACATCTCTGTTGAAATAATAATACAGATGTAACACACCCTAAGATCTTACTTACTCAGCATTGCCATGTCATAAGACAAAATGCATTGCATAGAACAATGGAATGCAGATATTGAAGTTCACAAAATGGTATAAAATTATGAATGCATCACAGGTTCAAGTCCCGATGAGGTCATTGGATTTTTTCAATTGACCTAATCCTTCCAGCTGCTCAGTCTCTAACAGAAATGAGTACCAGGAATTAATTAAATAATTTTCCTGGGGAGTAAAGCACGGCTGGCGCATAAGGCTAACAACCTTACCGCCATCTTTGAGCCGATTGTCTAGATAATGTGGGACCATCAACGTCTCACCACCCTATTATGGGCCTTCACGGCCTGGTACAGGGATAGTTTTACTTTTTATTATGTATGTTAAGAGAAATACCATAATCGCATAAATGTCAGGCAAACACTTGTGGAAATAGTGCCAACTTAACAAAAACCGAAGTAGGTAGGTGTGGAAAAATCTATTCTTCATTGAACAACCATTCTAATCCACGCAACTTCACTTAATTTTCTTTACCACCTGAACCACACCCACAAGCTGCCCCATTTGCAGAGCATCACAACTGCCATCCTTGTTTTTCCATTACATTGGTGTAACAGAGTGCTGTTTGCTTCCTTTTATCTTGGATGGATGGCTTGGTAGGAGAGGATTTAATGCAGTTAATGTTCACTGAGTGGCTGACAGTCGTCAGTGCTGGCATATCACAGGAAATGACAAAACAATTTTGGTTTAGTAATCTTCATGCCTGTGATGCTTGTAGCATATTAGTCTTACAACTTTTAAGCCTACTTTTAATGTTCATATGTAATTTCTTTCTCGGATGAGAGTTTCATATATTTATTTTATTGTAGTGAGAAATGTATTTCATGATTACAAATAAGAACTATTTATTCTATGTCCATAGCCATGTGGGAGGCACGAGTGAGAGGCAGGACACACTGAGTAGTTTGAAGTGAGGATTGAATATTCTATTTATTTAGAATAATGCTAGCACACATGCTTTAGATTTCTGTACTAACATTAGATTAGATTTTAGGATGATGTAGTGATGTTGCTTTAACACATTGAGGACCGGTCGCATGATATCATGCTTTTGGCTTCTGAACGTGGCAGACCGGTCGTATGACATGATTTTAGGACATGCTAGGTTGTAACACACTATACCTTTCTCTGGCACCACCCAAATGAATGACCACTGCGTAATATTACTCTGGAATGTTTGCCTAGTAGGCAGTAACTTGACCTCCCTGTTTTGGTTCCCTCTTCAAAGGAAAATAATCTTTGACCCTTCAAGCTGTTATGTACCAGGCAGGAAGTTAGTGCAGTATGAATCAAGGAGAGAAGCAGTTGAAGATGAAGCCATATCTCAGAGAAAAAGAAATATCTGTCTTGTTCTCCGATGATCTATCTGATGTTCCTTCTGAGAGGAGTAGTGAAAGTGAGACAGTGGCAGTGACAGGGGTCAACAAACAATTGTGGCCACATACAATAAAAGTGAAAGTAGCTCCGATGAAAGTGCATGTAGAAGTGCAGGTAGTAAAATTTCGGGTACAGCCTCATGGGGAAAAGTAGACAAAACGCCTACTTTGGGAGAGTTTACTGGAAATCCAGGGGTGAAAGAAATTCCATCGGACCCAACACAAGTGTCTGAAGTAGCAGAACTGTTTTTTTGGAGATAGAGATACTCGTGTTGTGAATATGATTTCCACAATTCACAAATCGATAGCTCCATTGTTGTTGACTTTGGCACCAGATGGAGGTGACTGGTCAGCTGCATGCCCCAACCCCATTACTCCCAGGTAACCCCCAGTACCAATTGGATAGGAGGCTGGGTTGGCCGTAGAGCCAGCCTGGACATTGTGGAGAAGAGAAAATCTCTTAACCCTCACCAGGAGTTGATCCTCGGCTATCCAGACCATAGCCCGCCACTGTATTAACTAAGCTGTCCCAGCACGCAATATAATGGAAGGAGGAAACATAATTCTATTCTAGTAATGCATGTGATCTGTTTTGACAAATGGCTGAAACCAAAATAACTGTATTACAGTAGAGGAGATACTGGTGACAGTCCCACCCCACAAGTTCCTTTACTAGCTTATGTGTGGTGAAGACAGGCAACCTGCCCTGCTTACTCAGTCTGTTAACACACATCACTGTAGAGACATATGGAAACAATTCTACCTTCCCCCATTTTCACTCTTACCACTAAGGCAACTCGTCTTATTCCTGTTAAACCACTGCTCTGCTTATCTGAGATGAGAAAGGATGAAAGCTTAGTTCAAATGCATCTCTGTTTTGAGAAATTAAAAATCCCACACATGTAACACAGACTGGATAATCTGTGGCTGAATAATCAGGAACTGAATGTCCGTATAAAAATATAACTTTTTATTTTATATTCCCTGCCACTCAAGTATACTTCAGTACGTAAGTCGTTAGTGCCTGATCCTGGCCCTTTTGAGATGGCAAATGCTTTTGCAGAATTGAAATGGTATAAATCGCCAGGTAGTGATCAAATTCTGGCAGAACTTATTCAAACAGGAGGCAAACTATGCATTATGTTCTAAGATCCACAAGCTAATTACTTCTATTTGGCATAAGGAAAATTTGCCTGATCAGTGGAAGCAGTCTATTATTGTACCAGTTCATAAGAAGGGTCATAAAACTGACTAGTAATTATCGGGGGATATCACTGCTATCAACTTCATACAAAATTTTATCCAATATTCTTCTCTCAAGGTTAAGTCCATATATAGATGAAATTATTGGGGATCATCAGTGTGAGTTCTGATGTAACAGATAAACTACAGATCATATCTTTTGCATCCGTCAGATATTGGAGAAAAAATGGGACTACAGTGAGACAGTACATCAGCTATTCTTAGACTTCAAAAATGCCTATGATTGAGTTAGGAGGGAAGTATTGTACAATATTCTAATAGAGTTTGGGATACCCATGAAACTAGTTAGGTTGATTAAAATGTGTTTAAATGAAACATATAGTGAAGTCCATATAGGTAAACAGTTATCTGATAAATTTCATATCCAGAATGGTCTAAAACAAGGAGATGCTTTATCACCACTCCTTTTCAACTTTGCTTTAGAATATGCAGTTAGGAAGGTCCAGGAAAACCAAGTAGGACTGAAATTGAATGGGACACATCAGCTGTTGGTCTATGCCAATGATGTGATTCTACTGGGTGATAATATAGATGCCATAAAGAAAAACACACAAACTTTAATTGACACAAGTAAGGAGGTTGGTCTAGAAGTAAACACAGAGAAAACTAAGTTTATATTGCTGTCTTGTCACCAAAATTCAGGGCCAAGTCATGACATAAAGATAAGAAACAGATGTTTTGAAAATGTAGCACAGTTAAGATATTTAGGAATAACAATAACAAATCGAAATCAAGAGGAGATTGAGCTCAGGTAATGCTTGCTACAATTCAGTCCAGAACCTTTTTGTCTTCTCATCTGCTGTCCAAAAACATAAAAATTAGAATATACAAAACTATAATTTTGCCTGTGGTTCTGTATGGGTGTGAAACTTGGTCTCTGACATTAAGTGAGGAACATAGACTGAAGGTGTTTGACAACAGGGTGTTGAGGAGAATATTTGGACTGAAGAGAGATGAAGTGACAGGAGGTTGGAGAAAACTACATAATGAGGAGCTTCATAACTTGTACTCTTCTCCAAGTATAATTAGAATGATCAAGTCAAGGAGGATGAGGTGGGCAAGGCATGTAGCACAAATGGAGGAAACAAAGAATGCATATAGATTATAGGATATTGGTGGGAAAGCCAGAAGGAAAGAGACCACTGGGGAGACCAAGGCATAGGTGGGTGGGCAATATTAAGATGGATCTTAGAGAGACAGGATGGAATGGTATGGATTGAATTGATCTGGCTCAGGATATGGACCAGTAGAGGACTCTTGTGAACATGGGGATGAACCTTCGGGTTCCATAAAATGCTGGGAAATTCTTGAGTAGCTGCAGAATTGGCGGCTCCTCCAAAAGAGCTCAGCTCCAGAGTAAGTCAGTCTTCCCTGTCATGGACATAGAGTACCCAAAGATATTAATGAAATTTACTTCATACCCTTGCCATTATACAAGGGGGCTCAAAAAAATGTACTCACCCTTTGATAGTCAGTATCTTTGGAACAATATGACATGTAGTTGCAATTCTTGCGCCGTAGTGTAGTGTAATGTTTTCTCAACAGATGGTGAAGGTCACGCACACTGCAAGCAGAAGACAGCAGCAACAATGGGTGAAAGGTTGTTCTTCGAGCAACGCAAAGCTGTATTGAAGTGGTACTGGAAGTATGAAAACATTACGACAATGGCAGAATGAGTTTGGAACTCAGGCACCAACACGTCAAACAATTGCCCGTATTAGGGATAAATTTGAAGCTGACGGTACTGTTCATGATGTGCATGTGGGCGACCGCGGATAGTAACAAGTCCAGCTTCCAGTGCTATGGTGTTGCAACACTTTACACAATCACCGCAAAAATCTGTGAATCAGTGTGTGTGCCCTGCCATTTGAGAGCTGCTTGGAGATGAGAGATTTTACCTACAACAACATAATGCTCCACCTCACTACCATCGAGATGTCAGGGCGTACTTGGATAACATTCTACCTGGACGATGGATAGGTCGAATAGGTGCAATTGAGTACCCACCACAGTCTCCAGACCTAAGACCTCTCAACTTCTACCTATGGGGAACCTTGAAGGATGAAGTTTATCGAGAAAAGCCAGCTGCACTGAACACACTACGAGAAACCATCGAAGCATCTTGTGCAGCCATCACACCAGACACACTGACAGCCCTAGTTCGCTCAGCAGTTCGGCGGCATCAGCGCTGTTTAGCCTCTGATGGTGGTCACTTCAAACACATACAATGACTCTCCTCTCTCCGCGCAAGAATTGTAACTACATGTCATTTTGTTCCAAAGATATTGACTATCAAAGAGTGAGTACATTTTTTGGACCCCTCTGTATATGGTAGCTAAGACTGTTAAAACAGTGTGCTAACATTACGACAGAATTTGTGGATGTAATTTGAATCCTCATTCCTAGTACTTTTTCTTTTCTCTAAGTGAATATACTCGTACTTTGATTTCTTAATTTCGGTGTTATTCCTTCATCAGAGTTTTAGCTGCTATATATTGTGACATTGACAAGGAAAGCAACCATATCTGGGGCTTACCAATGACATCTGATGTTTTTCAGCAGCTTTTGTTTGTTTCACATATCTAAATGTTCATTATTTATTTCTTGACCATCATAAAGATACAGTGCATTTTGTTTTCTTAAGTTATTTAATGACACTGTCATTATCAAAAATATATAGCATGTCTTTTATTTTCATGTGATGAAATTTCCTGTAAACAAATAATATGTTCCTGTTTTCAGTCTACTTATAAAACTGTTCATTTTATGTATACTGTATAACACATTTGTAAGATTTGTTCTTCCAGTGTGTGTATCTGAGTCAGAAATTTGTAACAGGTGTTTGTTTAAATCCCTATCTTATTTGTTTAATGTGTTAATAAACCCTGTCGTGATGTTACTGTTTAGACGACAGAAAATATAGAAGAAAATTATTGCATCTGGATTCAAACTTTTTTTACTTACTTTTTTGGCATTTTTGCTTTTATCTGGACACCAACTCTTGATTCTTTTATGTGCTAAGAGTTTGAAACCTCCATTTGAAAAGCCTTTAAGATGGTGTGACAGGTGGTTAGTTGGGAATTATTATATAATTACACCAATGCAGATATGTAGTAAGATGATAAAAAGTAAGATTTGCATTCCAGTATAAAATATGTCATGTAACTTTTGTTTAGTGTTTTGAGTACTATTGGGTACACTATTGCAGTTTTCCTCCACAATGTTATTAAAAATAAATGCCACTTTTTCTGAGTTGTATTATGTGCTACAGAGCAGGATGAACGTAAGACATTAATTACACCCAATTTTAATTACTTTGTTGTACACTTTGAGAACTTCAGTTCCTTGCCTGAAATGTGCTGATGAATTTAAAATTTGATGCACATTGAAAGGCTCAACATATGCACATGATGGCAAAGGGCCAAAAAGAAAAGAAAAAAAAAAGGAATGGAATAACCAAATACACAGACAACATTGATATTCTGTATGCTGCAAGTGTGAAGATTGAATAAAAAAAAACAGGCTCAGGCACATCACAGAATATACAAAGAATTTTAAAAATCGCATATTAGAACCATGTACTGCTGTCTCTGTGCCATTGTAAATCTAGTGTGAATTGTTTGAATTGAATTAATGTTACATCTTTTCTTCGCATGTCATTACTGTATCGTACTGTGTTGTAAGCTTTCTGTGTGTGTCCAAGTTTTGTGTGAATATATTTTTAGGCTTTCTGTGGCTAATGCTGCAAATGAAGACCATCACCGTAGTACATGAAACAGGCAAACAAAAGTAAACTTAGATTCTAAAGGGTTCTGATGATGATGGATGACACACAGAATTACTAGGTTTTTGGACTTTTCCCATCATCCGGAATTCTAGGTAATAGAGGACACGATGTTTCGAAAACTGGATCTGTTTCCGTATTCAGGTGAGAAAGGAAGACACCTGAAGACAGAAATAGATCCAGTTTCTGAAACGTCATGTCATGTCCAAAAACCCAGTAATTCCGAAAAGTAAACTTCATTAGTTCTGTCCATTTTTCTCCCTGATGTACAGTGTAGAACCTAAATTCTGATAAGCATGTTTTTCTGTCGTCTTTAGTTAATATCAGAAGTAAAGAAACTTGTTTTGTGAGGTGTGGGTTTTCACAACAGTGAGTACCATGTTTATGGTCTGCTGTGATTTGATGTTGTATATGCTGGTAGAAGGGCACCTGCATTCAGGAGAAACCTGCTGCATGTCATCATGTCCCATGAGACCATAAACTTGCCTACTTTTTCTGGAAACCATATCACATCCTGGATTTTCCTGTTTTCCTGGGTAGTAACTTCATATTTCTGTGTGTTTTATGGGATTCAGAGACAGAATATTACAAATTCCCATATAACTGCACTGAACTGATCCCACTTTTCTGGTATGAATGTCTGTACTGCCTTTTAAGAGGCCATTTTTGTTTATTTAATTTGCTTAATGCAGTTTGCATAATCAGTCAATTTGACTTGTGTGTCATACTTACAGGCATTTAAATGAACTTGAGGCTGTGTACAAGTTGTGTGATTACACAATAACATGTCGACAGTGTCGTAAGCGCATGGTGGTTGATGCACCTCTGCCCAGTATTGATTATTGCAAGTGTTCTCACAAAACACATTGCTTTGAAAAAGGTATGTTGCAGTTTAGGTGTAGCATCTGTATTTTATTTGACCTTGAAAACTATACAGGACCATTCTGAAAGAATAATTCAGGCATGAGGCTGTTTAGTTTGCAAGGAGACTACATTGAAGAGGATAAGAACTTACATTGTATGTGTTAAGGAAGATTTGAAGCTCACTGATGGTGGCGCCTGTTTCTGGTTGATGGCTCCATGGAGATGCAAGCTGTATTACTGATAATGTAATTGTCATGGTTAACCATCTGCAGAACAAATTCTAGGTGGTATGTCACCAGATACTAACCAGTTAGCCTTTATTTCTTAAAAGATGACATGTTTCGATCATTATTGGCCATTATTAGGTATAACAAATTAAAAAAATATGAGACAAATCCGAGAATTACATATATTAATTTTCATCAGAAATTGGATCCAATTTCAATAACATGTATTGCCCAAAATGTACAAGATAAAGTAAAGTGTATAATTATCTAGAAATTATTGAAATAAATAAAGATTTATTAGTTAGTATTTGCTGCTGTACCACCTAAAATTCATTGTGTACATTGTTAGCCACTACATTTAAGTTAATAGCACACCACAGGATTAAGAAACTGAAGATGTATTATTGATGTTTTGGAGATATTTACTGTTTCAAGTTTTAAGATGAAAATGAAAGCAAAAAAACTTTGAAACGTCCATTTAAGGTTTATTTTGACAGCCGTGGATTTAAATATTAAACTGAGGAAAATTGAAACCAAGGTAATTTTCCATTTAGGTTATTGACTTGAGGGCAGTGGAATTGAACATTAAATGAGGGACAACCATAAATCAAGGAATATCAGGTGGGGGTTTTGCAGTTGTAAATGTCTCAGTACATCAGCTGTTACACCCTGCCTCTACCCAATGCAATTACCTGGAAACAAGGTCCATGTTAGCACTCTTGTGTGATACTGGATCAGTCTTAGAACTTTCTTATGTGGTCAGGGTCCAAACTAATTGGAAATTTCTTTTATTGAATCCTCAGTACCAATATGAAGGAGTGTCAGAATTGGGAACAGAATTCAAGTGACTTTTAAAAATTAAATTTTATTTTTGCTGGGACCTTCCAATGTTAGTTATCAATAGGGAAAAAGGATTTATGACTGTGTATGAAGAATTGTATTAAATATTTATTTTATTTTTAAATGTACAGTCAATTAAATAATTGATTGTACTGTTCAAATTACATAAGTTATGTTGGAGGTGTGAATGTAAATTTAGAATACCAAGAAAAGTAAGGCTGTTTGAAGGTTTGTTTTTCATATTGTTTGAATTTAGTGAAGTACGTACATTACTAAAATGTTTTGTTTCCTGTATTGTCCCAAGCCTGTATGTTTCAATAAAGTTGCTTCATTTCTTGACTCACAGGTATTCACAGATTGTTTTTAAAATTTATTATGGATTCATATCATAGCTTGTTTTAAATGTACAAAGGGGGATCCAAATATAACCGGAAACGACCTGTTACGCGCGCATGCTTTGTAGTTACGAGTTGTGCTGCTAGGTGGTGTTAGCTGGGGGTCTCCCGCGACTGTTAGTGAGCTGGCGTCAGTCTGAGTTAAGTGGTTTGTCTGTGGTGCTCTGTTGTGTGCATTCCTGTTTCAACCCTTAGTTACTAGTGAGATGGCCGACCAGAAGGAACAAAGAGTGTGCGTGAAATTTTTGAAGATCGTCGAAAGACCATTGAACAACTTTCTGAGGAAACGAACATCTCATGGAGCACGGTCCAGCGAATTTTAACCGAAGGTTTGCACATGAGATGGGTGTCTGCAAAATTTGTTCCTCGCTTGCTCGGAGATGACCAAAGAGAAAACCGCGTGAATGTTTGCCGCGGTTTGAAGAGTGAAGTGCAGTTTTCCCTAACAGAAAGCAAAATTTCACGCACACTCTTTGTTCCTTCTGATCGGCCATCTCACTAATCGCCAAAGGGTTGAAACAGGAACGCACACAACAGAGCACCACAGACAAACCACTTAACTCAGACTGACGCCAGCTCACTAACAGTCGCGAGAGACCCCCAGCTAACACCACCTAGCAGCACAACTCGTGACTACAAAGCATGCGCGCGCAACAGGTCGTTTCCAGTTATTTTTGGGTCCCCCTTCGTATGTATGGTTGTCATTAGGTTCAGCAGGTATGTCTTTCTCTGAGTACATTCATTAACAGATGATGTGAGGTTTTTTCTGCTACCTAGTGAGACTTCTTGCTCTTATGTATTGTCTAGTGCCGTAAGATTGTTGTCTGGTTTGAAGTCTGTAATTTTGCGTGTCTACCACTGCAATACACAGAAAGAGATGATAGTTGGTAAACAGGTTAGGTGTGGTGTGTGCATGTGGCAGATGTGCTGACATTTGCAGTGCAGTTAACCATGGCTGGAGTTACTTGTGATGCAGTGTTTTGTTTGTTTGTAGGGTGAAAGCAAATTGTGTTATGATGCAGCTTCTCGTGAACTACACGCACAAACACCTTGTGGGAAAATGTGGTATGACTCATGCACTACAAGATTTACTTCCTGTTTTAGATGTCTGTGGGTGGAAGCCTTTTTTGGAGAGAGAAGATTTGCTGGTCTGGAGAAAGGAAGATGAAGTATTTCATGGGCTATATGTTTATAAAGGTGTGTACTGCTCACTGAGGCATAATTTTTTTAATTACAGGAAAACTATTGAAAATTCTTGAATTATGATCACTTTAATTAACTGCTACCCCTTTCAAATCTTCTCTGTTTTATGTTTCTACTTAACATACTCATATCCTAAACCATGGAGTTAGAAGTGTTAAACACATCTGGCTTACAAGTAGTTCGTAAGAATGAGAACTTTCATGAAACCTGTTCATCCTTATTACATATCAGTGAAATATTCTGTTGTCACAAATCCAGGATTCATTAACAAAGTCTGGTCATGGAAAATATTGCTCCACTGTTGTAATGCCTTTGAAATCAATTAAAAGTATTGAAGTCTGTATACAACTCACAAATAGATATCTGTGTGATCTAATTCAGTACATATAGAAAGGAAATTGCTCTGATTTATGCCATGGACTCAATAGATGACACTAAGAGATGTTACGAAATTTGCTCTGTATTGTTATCGGTATGTACAGTAGCCATGGCTATTAAAGCATTGTCCAGGTATTGCAGTAGAGTTTTTGAATGTGACTCATTTCTGTATTCCCAGTCTTTTTTTGTTACATGAGTAATGATTAATTTCTTAATTTGATTGTTTTTTTTTTTCCTTTAAAATTTTAACTATTTCGTATTGTTACACTGACAAGAAAGCAACCTCATCCTGGGGCATGGAACAGGTTCATCTTCTAGTGTGGGTGTTAAAAGGATGTTAAATGTTCATGTATTATTCATTCTGAAGTGGGTGATATGCCCATACTTCTTGGTTTCAGATACTTTATGATGTATTATATTTATTTATTTATGTATTGTTTACTTAATGATGCTGCCAGTAACTTTGACTCTGTGGAATTGAATGATTAGATTATTATTAGTGTGTAATGAATTGGAAAGAATGCAGAAGTTTGCAGTTATGTTATTCTAGCACTTGCCTCATGGAACTGAAGAAAAGAAAGAGTCAATCAGAATAACTGGGCTTGGGATCAGGATTCAAACCTTGGACCTTCTGAATACAAATCATGATTGCTGCCTACTTAGTTGTGACATTCGGTGTGTGTAAAGGAAATAATTGTTTTAGCACGAAAATATTAACACATTGCATACTGAAATGTCATTTTAATCAAACACCCCAACTCATGGATGGTTTGTGTGGGGTTAGTACCCTAAGGTAGGGAACAACCTTGCCTACATTTTGAAGTCCTAGATGGTACACTGGAGCTTACTTGTGAAAACTGTATGTTAGTAGTTCAGTAGTACTTCGCAGAATGAAATCCCTCAAAACAAGGAATTTTATATAGCGGAACAATGCAAAATTTACAAATATATCTTATCTAACTACATTTTTTTGTGTATAGCATAAACACTTGCTGGATACTTCTTCCCTTGACTGGCTGCAACTCTTTTTCATGCTTATTGTCACATGTTAGTGACTAGTTACAGGGTTTGGATTGGTAATTATATTTAATGGACACTTACTACAAATGATTATAATACTGTCACTAATCTTCACACTTAACAATTCACTATAGCACATGCTGTCTGAGTCTTAGCATTCTGTGTCTTCACCGGTCATTATCTGGTAACAGCTCTCAACAGTAGGTAATCCTCTGCTTCTGTGTTCATGTCCTTACTTGACGGCAGCTGTCTTGCCACTGTCTCATAACTCTCAACCACAACTCATGGCCTCTTAGCCATGACTGTCCACTTACTGGCTATACCTGGCTCAGAGTCAGAGTTATAGTTAATTAACAACTGGTGGTTTATGGCCAATCATTTCACCATGGCGACAAGCTCCTTGAGACTCACAACTAGTCATTTTGTTTTCCAACTGAACACTTGCGGTTATAGTCCTTATGTAACATCCTCTTTGATGAGAGGATGGGTCTGTCATTTACAATTTCTGCTGGTTCTTGCCAGTGCAGTCACTCTCAAGTCTGAGTCCCACAGCATTAGCTGCTGGATACCTTGTATGTGTGTAAGGGGTGGGCCATAAAATCCCGTCCTTGCACTGCAACCTTCAGTGATCTATTACTGGATACCTTGATAATAGAAGATCTCATTTTGATCGTTTAGGAAGTCCTCCACTGCAGAAATGACATCATCGTCTTGGAATCGCTTACCACCAAGTGGCTTCTTTAGCTGTGGAAAGAGGAAAAAGTTGCTTGGTGCCAGGTCTGGTAAATATGGTGGATGGGGGAGAATTTCATATCCCAAACTGGCACCAAGTATCATCATAGCATGAGCAGCATGACCTGGTATGTTGTCGTGAAGAAGTCACACATCTTTCCCAGCATTTCACATCACTTTTTCTTGATTTCCTCCCATAATTTTCTCAGAAGGTTCCGGTAGTACTTGCCAGTGATGATGACAACCTTTTGCGCATAGTCAGTCATGATGACACCCCGCTGGTCCCAGAACATGCTCAACATCACCTTTCCTGATGATGTATGGGAGATTTGGCCTTTTTGGTGGTGGCAAGTCTGCATATTTCCACTGCTTGCTCATTTCCTTTGTTTCAGGGTCATAATGAGAGACCCTGTTGAACTGTTGTCAACAATCATGGTACCCAACATGCAGGACCTTTGTCATGTGTACCTCATCACGGATGATGTTGAAAACTGACCCATGGCTAATGTAGACCTCATGAACCATAGCTTCGATAGTTGTGCACCTGTCAGATAGGATCAAAACTTTCAACAGTGCCACAATTCCCGGTTCCTCAGCGAGAGATGGTCTTCCACTTAGGGTTCATCTTCAAGGTTTGTCCTCCCACAATGAAAGCGCCTCTTCCACCTGTCCACTGTACACCTTCCTGATACACAGCGGTCATCTGGTCATGAATCTCCCTGGCAGACTTCCCTTGCAGACGCAGGAATGGTGTCACAGCGCAAGCCTCCACTTTCTCAACCACTGTCGCCATTTTGCTTCTGCCCCTTCCGGTGGCTCCCTGTGTCCACTTGGCACAGGAAAATTTGACCATTCAGCAAGCTCAGGAAATGGGCTATCTCCTGTATAGAACGATATTTTGGAATTATGATTTTCTCATGGTGACAATTAAAACATTAGGACTTCCCCTCGTAGAAAACCAAGGAGAATGAATGTTAACATTGTTTTGCATAGTTACAGTATCTAAGGACAAAGCTTACATGTGGTCTGTGTTTACTGTTTGGAGATGTAAACATCTTTCTTCAAGTTCCAGTTTACCTCAGAAACATGTGTGAACCAGATCGGCACCCATGCATCAAAGAACACAGCCAGAAAGACCATTGATCTACATAACCCATACACAGTGCTCAACACAGAAATCACAGCTTTTGACATGACCCATTTGCAGTATGTTAAGATACAAAAATACTTGCAACTTTTCTGGCAGTAATTTAAAATGTCAAGTACTTTAATTCTGTTTACTCCAGAGATATTGCTTTCACACTAGAGTTCTTTATATGATGTGTTTGTAGTGTATGGGAAATACCATGATGTTGCTGCCAAAGACTTCTTGAAAGTGCAAATTGACACGGACTTCCGCAAGACGTGGGACAACACTGCAATTAATTTGAAAGTTGTGGAGCAAGACAGTGCAAGCAACAGCGACATTGTGTACTGGGAAATGAAGTGGCCGGTATGTGTAAGCTTGCTGCTTCAGTGTAGTCCATCTGCCTGGGTTAATTGCACTGCAAAGCTGTTGTGAGCACAATGTTATTCTTGAAAGGGTTACCCATGTAGTGCAAAGCATAGTAAAGATTATTAGCTGGTCACATTAGAAAACTGGAATAATTCAGTCCACGGGTATGCAATAAAATAGAATGTGCCCATAAAATTGATAACAGTCCCTACAGTTGAAACTTTTTAAACACAGCCAACAATAGGGACCACTCACTTCATCAGTTTCCCATATTAACAGCCGCTGCTTTTTAATATCTTAAGTGAAGCTTGTCATATATTTTGACATCTGCTTAATCAAAATATGTTCTAGACTAGTGTTTTTGAAGTGTTTTTGGTATCAGAAAACGTTCATGTCTCCCTTAACTAAAGCTAAGTGTTATAGGTCTAAAGAGAACATTAAAAATATGCAGTCATTTTTCAGTGAAAAAAATATAATGAGAAGGAAATTTAAAATAATTTTTATAACATATTTAGGATTAATAAGAGGCATGCTTCTGCTTTTTATTTTATAGATTTCTGATTAATGGTAAAGAGTTGGATTTTCATGACCGGTGCATTATGTCTTATTAAACCAATGATATTTCTGATCACTTTGTATGTCATTTGTAATTTAGTCTTGTAAATGCAGTAATCTTAAGAATGGGATCACAATACAGATTTGATTAATTTTTAATAATCTGATAAGTAAATTCCCTGCCCTATTTTCAGGCCACTGAACCAGATGAATCCAGTCCACATCATCACATTTTTTTTCTATAAGGTCCATTTTAATACTGTTCTCTCCTCTCTTCTTAGGTCTCCTGCGTGGTCTGTTTCTTGCAGGTTTTCTGACTAAAATTTTGTATGCAGCTCTCTGCTCTCCCGTATGTTGTGCATATTCTCTGCATCTCATCCTCGTTGATTTGACTATCCCAGTAATGCTAAAGCACAATAGACCACTGTAGGTCGCAGAGCAAGTGCCGAGAAGGCCTACCCCTCATACATTCATCCCAGTAATGCTGTATGAAAAATAGAAAGTAACAAATCTCATTATGCAATTGCCTTTACTCTCTCCTCCTTTGGATGAGATATTCTGCTCAACACCGTTGTCAAACACTGCAGTCTGTTCCACCCTCATTGTGAAAGGCGAAGCTTCACGCCCATACAGAGCAAAGTTATATAGATTTATGTATTTCAGTCCTTACATTTTACATATGAGAAGGGAAAAGTAAAAACCACTTCTTTGTAAATGTTCATACAACTTAAGTAATTTGAAGAGTAAAGTCTTGTGAGTTGAAATTCTGCATAGTTTGGAGAGAGCACGATGTTTCAGGGAAATGTACCACCTCCATCTTCAGTGTCAAAGAATAAGCCAAGCAAGAAACCAGCAGAAGCAAGCTTGAAGCTGGTTGACTTTTTGACCCTGAAGTTGAAGGTGATATGATCACCCAAAACATTGGGCTGTTTCCAGACTACATTGTATTATAGCCCAGAAGATCACACTTGTCGCAGTCACCTCAGATCCAGCTTCGTTAGTTGGGTTACAGAATCATGGTCTTGTTACTTACAGGCTTTGCATGATCATGCACAGTCAGAAAAGATTCAGAACTCCTCCTTTCCTTCCTCTTGTGCAACAACTCATGCCTAAAATTTCACCACATTTCAGTCTTGTATGAGGTGTAGGCCTCCTCGGCCCTTGCACCACGACCTACAGTGGTCTATTGTGCTTGGACATTTTGGTCTTATTAGTCACTGTTCATAATTATTTTGCCATTAGAGATCCACAGAATACTGAGTTTTAGTCACAGTTTTAGATAAAACCTGTATTTAAGATAATTATATGATATTTTATTCCTGTGGTACAGTGATTCTTTAATCATTTCAATGGTAAATAATTTCTGTTGGTGAAAGCCACAGATGGCTTTAACTGTTAAGAAATACGGGTGGAGACTTCTTTCATTGTTCTCATATGCCAAATAAAACCAGACCAGAAAGGCCAGTGCTCCTAAGCAAGGCATGTTATGGATAACATGGAAAGGGATAATGAAGCATGTATAGATAGCCACTGAATTACACAGTTACAACACAGAGCAAGAATAATCCTATCTCTCTGGTTTACACAGTTTCATCTGGATATACAAAGTGAATGACATATTGTTGAATGAAATGAATTAACATTTACAGACCCACATAAGAACAGGAAATATTTTGTTTTCAGCGAATGTTTTCTAATAGAGACTATGTGTTCAATCGCCGTTACTTGATTGACCAAGAGAATAATATTATTGTGGTCATTAACAAAGGGACAGAGCATCCCAATGTTCCTGAGAACCCACAAAATCATCGAGTTAAGGACTACTGGTCATTCATGGTAATCAAAGCGTGCACTGATATTGATGAGGTGAGTGTCCGCAGCCTGTGTTGGCAACTTTTGTCTTGAGGCTTGTAATGCCAAAAAGGAATATAATGGTTTTCATGTGAATGTCCTGCACAAATATCAGAGACTTATAATTAATATTGGTATAACACATAAGAATATTATGACAGTTATGCAAGCTGAAAGCGGCCTCCGTAGTCTAGGGGTAACGTTCCCACCTCGTGACTTAAGGTACGCAGGCTCAAACCCGGCAGAGGTCGTGGAATTTTTAAGGGCGGAAAAATTTAGGGAACAAGTTCTCCGGGAGGAACTTTAAGCCGTGGGTCCCGTGTCATAGCTGTACGGCACATAAAAGAACCTCATGTCCCAAGGGGACCACTGAGCCAAATTCAGGACATTTCCCGCCCAACAGTAGTCTCTAACGCCTCTGGTAGATGGGGGAAGCATCGAGATACCACTGAGCCAGTAGAGGCCGAACTCGCTGGCTGAGTCGGTACTGATGGGATGCACCAGTACCGGTAGGGAATAGAGACTGGTAGAATATCATACGGGGACGCACAATGGACCAACAGTTGGTCTAAGTGCATGGGGAAACCCACCCTCTCCAATACAATACAGTACAATACAATACAATATGCAAGTTGAAGATTAGTCAAGACTTATATGCATGAGATATTTCAGCTAGTGTTCTAGCTGTCATGTAGAAAGATGTTTGTGGTTTTTTCAATCTTTATGGGTCAATGATTATGCTGTATAGTAAACTTTTATATCCAAGCATTCAGATCACACTATAGTTTTTGAATCCAAAATCTTTCACACATCAATCTGTTCTGTTGCAAGAACTAAAGCAAAAACATGTTTTGACTATATTGGGCTTCTGTATGAGTTTTTCTTATACAGCGAACAGATCTCATTCCTCATACAAGCTGGATAAGAAGTTTGCTGTAACTTGGAAGTGGTTGTGACTACCTGTATCCAGATCCTTGACTACCATTCACAATCGTATCTTGACATTTTGCAACCTTTGCAGTTGATAAAGCATTATTTAATAATGTAACACTCAAGAATTGGCCATATATGTCACTTCTACTTAATATTGGCATGCAGGCTAACATACTTCATGGGTTTGTCCTTGACAAGCAAATGGTCATTCAGCTCATCAAGAAATTCCTTGCCTTGTATGGAACCCAGAGATTTGTTAGTATGTTCACATGAGCTTGCAGCAAGCCCTATCCTGAATCAAATGAAATAAGTATAAACCTTCATATCCCATTTTTAAAGGTCCACTTTAATATTATCCTCTTGTGTCCCCTTCCAGTTTCTGAGCTACAGTTTTTTCTTCTTCTTCTTCTTCTTTGCATTTCTCAGCTCTTCCATGTGTACTACATTCTCTGCCCATCTCATCCACAGCTCGATGATGCTAATAATGCTTGATGGGGAGTACAAATTACAAAACTCTGGTTGTGCAGTTTCACCCAACAACCTGTTCTCAAAGTCTATATTCTTTCCTTAATGTGACAAAATAAGTTTCATTCCTATCAAAGCAATGGCTAAAGTTGTAGTTTTGTATATTTTTATGTTTACAATTGTGTGCCAGCATAGTTTCATAATAACTCTGAATGTTTGTAGTGTGCGTGATGGGTAGAAACACACCCATTCTCCAAGCTTGTAATTGTTCGCTGCTGTATGTTACACATATTTCTGTATCTTGAGACCATCTCCCCTATCTACAAACCTAAAGAAGATGACAGGAGACCCACTATACATTGTTTGGAACAGTATGGAGCATCTGTGTTAACATTTCCAGTATATAATATACCATATACTGGCATATAAGACAACTCACTAAGCTTAATAAGAGTCCCCTAGAACTGGGAGCCATCTTATACATGAAGCATAAAATGTGAATTTCAAATCCTTAAATGTTACTTGATGCTTAACAGCTGGTGTGCATTGTATAAACACCACCATAATTATTTCTAATTGAAACTTGTTTGGTATACATAATTAACATACAACTTCTATGCATCACTTAACTCCCACCATAATTATTTCTAATTGAAACCCATGTTAGGTATATGTAATTAACATTGAGATTATAATAGAAGGAAGTGTGGTGGGATAGCATGAACACAACTGCTCTAACTGCAGAGTCTTCAGAATGCATAACACCAGAGCCAAGCTGCATTCCAGACCAACTACCTATGTGAATGTTAATAGCATAAGTTATATATCTAATAAAATACTAGTGTCACATGTTGATGAGGATTTTGCATGATTTGTATTAATTTCAGTTTAAAAGAAAAATATTCTGTAGCTGTTCTCTCTGGCAATACAGACCCAGACTTAAATTTATGATTGAAAATGTAGGGGTTATCTTCAACACATAGAGTATATGGTACTAACAATTCTGTGTCTGCCATCTGCAATAGGAGAGTAATTTTGTACATGGTTGGTTAGTTGGTTTAGAATATGCATTTCATTATGTATAACTCCTGGAGCAGAGTTCCTCTTGAGAAGCTAATAGTTTCTCAGCTAGTCAAGATATTCCCAGAATTTTATGGAACCTGAAGGTTCATTTGTGTAAGCACAAGAACGTGAACCTGGTCCATACTCAGAGCCAGACAAATCCATTCCATATATTCCCATCTAAGATCCATTTTATTATTATCCACCCATCTACATCCTTCAAGCTTTCCCAGCAAAACTTTGTATCAGTTTTCTTCTCTCCCTTGCATACTACATGCCCCACCCATCTCATCCACCTTGATTTAATTCTAATTTTTGGTAAAGAATGCAAGTTCTGAAGCTCTCATTATGCAGACTTCAAGGAAAGAAGGTTTTGTCTTCTTTTAATTTTATTAGCATTTTTCATTATTGTTTCTACAAAGGAAGGGTCATATTTAAATCCGTACAAACAGTAGGACATAATTGCCCACTGTCCATTCTTCTAATAGCTTCTGTTTTTTCTTCTAATGCTATAGATTTGTGTTGTCATTCTGCCACATTTTCACTGGCAGTTGCACTTGCACACTTACAGCGTACACTTACATAGTCCCATTTCATTTTTTATTTTAAAGCATGAATTTGTAAAAAAATGTTAAGACACAATATTAATGTACACAATAAGCTAGTATAATGTGGCACAGACAGTTAGAAAAACTTGTAATATTCTACTTCACAGACTGAGTTTTAAAATAAATGTACCAGTAAGTCGAGCGCCACTACTGCACATCGCGATCAACGCGTTGGACATGCCTGGTATAGAGTATGAGCATATACAGTGTATACCCAAATGTGGCATTGCCATGAATACATGCCCAGTAGAAGGACCTTTCTTGGTAGTAGGAGTGCAACACAGAATTTCCCAGAATTTGGGGGGGGGGATAAAAGAAATTACTAGGAAATTCTCAAAGTGGAGGATATTCAAATCAGCATATACTTGTATTGATGTAAACCAAGGGCCCACTGTACTGTGAAAATATCTGATTCTTATATTCTCATAACATTTTAACGAAAGCTTATGGGGCTTTACGGTACGTTTTACGTAATTTACTGGTATTTCCAGTACTTTAAGATAAATAATGTGTTGTACATTTCCCTTTTCCATGTCCGTGGCTTTATGGTTTGCAGCCTGGTATGGAATTTAGTCTCACATACTTTGATAATCCAGGTGTTTCACTGCCTTCCTCAATAACAGCGTGGGTGGCTATGACTGGTAAGTTAAGTTGCTCTAAAATTTTTATTCCAAGCAGATCTGTTGGATGTTAATGGAGAACAATCTGCACTGATGTCTTACTTTCCATGAAATTTCCAAAGGGACCTTCATATGTAGTTTTCAGGAAGACATTAGTATTGCATGTGCACACAAAACATAACGTGACCAATATATCATGACATTTTTGTGCTTAACAAGTCTCTTGGTCTTGATATATAACTGTGGTGCTTCATGTTGCCTGATTCCATTATTGTATAGACTGATAAAGTTGGCTCAAGTAGTAATGTTTTGACTTGTATTTGTAGGTGCCATGTTCATATCTCAGCCAGGACACTGAGACTGTCCTGGCTAAGGTTCTTCATGGATTTTGACAGTTCCTGACAGAATATATCAGCATAGTATCTCGCATTAGGCCGTGACCATATCCACGTGCTTTCCAATTCATTATCCACTATTATCCTGTCATTTGGTGCTATACAGTGTGAGCTTCTGATAGCGTAACTAAATTATATTTTATTTTCAAACTCTACACTACCTAATATTTAATAAACATTACAGGTTACAGTTTTAAACTTATCACGACCTTGTAAACAGCAATACATGTCTGCAAGCCTGTATAACAGCCTGCCCATAATCACTAAAACTGCCTTATAAACACCTTTCCAATACAGTGAATAATAAAATTATATTAAAATTTTGCAAGATGAGGTGAACTAAACTTGTCTGAGTGTGAGCATAAACTTGCAGTATTTAATTTAGAAGGCACTTCTGCTGGGAATTCAGTGAGGAAACTTTCCGATAATGTTCAATATATACGAAGGTAAAATTGCAACTTTTGAGCATTCTGTCCATAGCTAACCACTGTATTGACCTATCGAGGCCCATCTCTGCATGATTTTTACAGGTCTTCCAGACTTCCAATGTCGTCTGAGACAGGCTGCCAGAGACTACAGGAAACACAGAGATCAAACTGATGTAACTAAAGCACACACTGATGGATCTAGATCAGAACTTCGTGCTGACTCAGGTTATAAACAGCAGAGTCAAACAAGGTCAAAACCTGAAGAAAAGTGGGATCCTTCAACAGAACTTGGCATAAAATTGGACAAAACACCATCCCATAAACCTTCAGATAATCAACCATCTCAGACACAAGAACATACAACAAGTTCTTCTGCCTCGAGGATGTACTTGAGACAATTTCATGCATGGCAGTTGTTCATCTAGAAGAATAAAATTGTATCACTGGTTCCAGAGTTGCAAGTGCCACACCAAAACGGGCCATATCACATCATCATGGTAATACTTCAATTTTAGGCAGATTTATTTGAAGTAATTGTCCAGAGTGGACCATCCAACTCTGGTTATATCTCTGAAGTATTCATTCTCCTCTCAGTGCTGTTGGTATGAATTTCATAAACAAAGAATCAAGATTGATTGTATAAATGGAGCAAGATATTTACCTGCATTTACTTCCTTAGTTTATATGAGAACTTACAAATAAACAATGGAACAACTGTTGATAAATTCTGATGAGAAAAGTATGTCTGACACATTTCATTGTTTCATTGTGTTGATTACAAACAGCTTTACACTTGACTAGCCTCCTTTGTGTAATTTTTTATTGCCCCAGGTTTTCTTGCAGTGTATGGAATAACTTTTTTGAAGTGCACACAGTTACATAGGGTTTGCATGTGGTTGGCTTAACCTTTAAGAGATGGGCCATTTAAATTCCCATAATGGCAGCAGGCCGGAGTTAATTTAAATGTCCACCATTGTAGAGTACTAAAAATTGTAAGCATGTTACTGAAAATGCTGTGATTTCTACAATTTTTGTGATAAACGAATGAAATAAATGCTGCTTTTATCTAGAAAGAATATAGAATCAGATATTGTAATTTACAGATTTTAAAATCTGTAAAAATTGTTACACTGATTCCAAAAAAAATTTCCCCCCCAATTTCGAGCATCTGTCCACAAATATGCATACAGTTTCTGCAGTATAAATGCATGCTGCTGACATTCTGCCTTACTGTGTCTTAGCTGGCAAAAGAGGAGGAAGTTTATGTATATATTGCACATTCTCCAGTCACGTCGGAACCTTTCTGTATGCACGAGTGTCGGCAAAGTCTTATCGTACTTTGTCCTTCAGAAATTCTGACTGTATATCTCGGACTAGCCACACAGGGATACTGTTCTCGGAATAGCCCCGCGTTTCCCCCTTGCTTCCCTGCCACTTTCAGAGTCGTCTGTACCGCATTCTGAATCGGTGTCATTTATGAGCGGCCTCTCAATTTCGGCTTCTTCCATGCGAAATGAGGCCATGGTGGATAGTTGAAATTGTGATGTTTTATAAGCATTACGATTAGAGGAGGCCACTCGACATCACTGGCAGACTTCCTCTAATACGAGACTGAGGTGTCGTGTGTGCTCTTCGCGTGGGAAACGGGGTTACATCTGGACAAAGTGCATGAATTGCGACATCGGACTCTGCATTCAATTAGATGACACAGGAGGGAAGACTGTCTACTTATAAAGCTGGTGCCCAAAAATAATGTAAGTAGAACAAGAATTTCTACCTTAAAATTAGATTTTAAAACACTGTGCGCATGCGCGTACCCATACGGTGTCACACGGCCACTCGGCTATACTTTAAAGGTCTCCATACCGTGTCACTAGGCTCTTAAAGGTTAAGATTAATCCCATTTTTATGCAGTTTTGTTATGATGAAATCAGTAACATGGACCCAAACAGTGTATTAAATATAAATATACAGTTTTTTATACAAAATGAATGCAGCCTGATGACAGAGGAATATTTGTGCATTTCAAAAATGTATGCCTAAAAAATAAGATTTGCATTTCAGGTCAAGATTGATTTCAAAAGTTTTGTTGATTTATTCAGCAACTGTTTAGAATAGTTTGATATTTAATTTCTTTTAAAATGTATAGGAACTAATGTAAATACAACAGTGTTCATAATTTGTATAACTGGTGTGTTCATATACTGTTTTCACTTACCTGATATCCTAAGTTTTGTAATAAAGCAGTTTCAGAAATTCACAGGAATGTCCATGATAAAAGAATGTTCACCAGACGTAACTACATTAGTTTCTGCTAAGAAGATTAGTGATTATAAAGAAAGGATGTGAACATATTTCAACCTATATGAAATATATATTTTGTTTCGGTATGTTCAGTATCTGTAAATGTGCAATGCTAAAATTCTCCTCCCCTGTACTGCTAACAAAATTTTTGCATTTGTTTATTTTTTGTTTGGTTGGTTGGGTGCCCACATGTGTGTACTGTATTACTTAGAAGATAAGATGTCCTCAAATTTAAGACACATCCAATTTTTAAATGAGGAAAAAATTAGAAAGGTGTATTTATTTCAGTGAGTTAATTTACAACACATCAATTAAAATAAACAAAATATTTGGAACACATTTAAGGTGAAAAGTAATGGAAAATATACCAGAAGGAAATGGAGATTTAAAATGTTCACTACATGCACATTCAGTCCAATCTTTGTTATTTAATCAGAAAGTTCATCCAGTGAACCTTCAGTTGCACCCATGCCACTTTGTTCACTGTTGTCCCAAAGAACTCTTGCATTCCATCTTCTGCATTAGACAATCAGCACTTTAAAAACGATTTTGGAATAATATTGACTGGCACTTATTTCCAAGCTTTTGATATCCACTACCCTCTTACTATCACTGATGCTCTTTTTATCTTGCCACTAGGTGTCAATATATGATTGTCTTTATTCAGCCAGAACCAGTCGCACCATAGCTCAAGCGGTTAGTTGCTGACTTTCCACTGCGGCGGCCCAGGTTCGATCCCAGGTCTCGTCATGTGGGATTTGTGGTGGACAAAGTGGCGCTAGGGCAGGTTTTCTCAGAGTGCTTCAGTTTCCCCTGCCAATCTTCATTCCACCAAATTCTCCATCATCATAATCACCCGGGGCAGGTATAATAGGCCAACCAGTGGCCGCCATGCCGAGTGGACCCAACATGACTCCACCCCCCACTATGTGAATTAAAAAGAAATAAATTATTCAGCCAGGCACCATAATCTTTATGGAGAAGATGCTTGAATGGTCTGTTAATTGACACATCAAGTGGTTGCAATTGACTTGTCATGCCACTAGGAATTATCATTAGTTTGGTGTTTTTGTTCCTTAACATGTTTCTGCTTGTTATTTTTTTTGGGGGGGGGGGCAAACTATTAAATTTTGGCAAAATTTTTTGTTGGCACTGTCTTTCTGCTTAATATTACGTATGCTGGTAATTTATTGCCATTTGCACTTATACATAGCATGACAGTACCATGTAACTTTTTGTAGCCTATAGTTTTCATTGCCGCTTGTTTTTCCCTTTTTAAATCTACAGTATAATTGCAAGGCATGTCACAAAAACTGCAGAGTTGCTGATTTGACTTAAAAGATTACTTATTCCACAGTGTAGTCCAATAACAAAACACTGAAATTTAATCAGTTTGATTTCAAATTCTGAAGGAACTTTTTGACTAATTTTCATCCTTCATCATAATGATAAGCTTTCTCCATAAACTTTTCACAGCATTCACAAGTAGCCTTGAAAGGTGTATTACTGTTACTAGTACATTCTTTTGCTTTTGACATTAAGGATTCCCCAGTGAAAAGTAATCCTTTATTTCGTAAATCTTTGAAATACTCTAAAACAGAGGCATCAGTCTCAGGATTTCTCGCTCTCCTTGGTCCAGAAAAAGGCTGTACAATTACCTATCTTTTCAGCACACTTTTCTTTTGAATGCAGCAGGATACATAAAACTCTTTTCCATGGGTAAAAATTGAACATGACTGGAAGATAAGAACGTCAGGCAATGACTGAACTGAAAGTTGGGGATTGACTCACAGTTGAAGGTGGGGGAGGGGGGATGTGGCTTGGTGACTCACTCCGAATGTGTTTACGTTAGGTTCTTTCCAGGCTGCCCCATGGACAGTTTGCAAACTTGTGAGTAATTCCTCAAATTTAAGCTGCACCTCAGTTTTTAAATGGGAAAAAATGTGAGAAATGTGCAACTTATATTGAAGTAATACGGTATACATATACACGGAGCCAATATAAAATATTTTCCTGCCATAAATTACCAATTTTGTGTTTATGTCTCAGTTCTGTCCAGGTGATACCGTGAGAACAACATTCATTTCAAGTCATCCTATATCAGATATTTTTAAAACTCTGATCCCTTTCTTTCAGTGTACTTAAAAACATAATTAAGTTTACATTTTATGTATAGTTCTTGTCTTTGATATGGTTTAGCATCACGTGAACATACTTTTAAGGTGCCCATTTCTTTTGCATTCAGCAGTATTATTTTTAAAGATAAGAACATCTTTATTCTCTTTCATTTTTTGACTACAGTTTTATAAAATGTTTCTGAAGAAAATTCAGTAGCTTACTTATTTTCGTTTAGATGATAAGTTTCATGAAAGCTTATCTTTCTGGCATAGGTAAATTAAGGTAAACTCCGCTTCCATTTTCCCCCCTATGTACAATTAAATTCTCTCACTTATATACTTGTGAGTACCATGTGGCTAATATTGAAAATTCTAATATCTTATCTGATCTTTGGAAGAGATTTGACACATAAGAGCTTTATACTTCTGTTGAAACAGCATTGTGAAAACACGTTTATCCAATGCAGTTTCACTCCGCAGAAATCAGACATGTATACTAATGTCCAAAGAATTGTTCCACGATTTGAACTGGTGTCTTTTCCTGAGATGTTTCTATTTTTCACGGCACCAATCTTTTGCCTCTTTCGTATGTGGGTGTGCAAGCAAGCGTGCACTGAATTACTGATTCCTATTCCATCTGAAAGTGTTCTGAAACTCTGTGGCAGACACACTTGCAAAGTATATATACACATCACATCTCTATGCACACAATGTGTGTAGCAAATGTACTGAAGAAATGTGTAGTATTTGCAAGGGTTTTTTCTTTAAATCTTCATTCAGTGTTAACATCAGGTACCCTAATTTATTTTGCCTTAATGTCAGTTTTCTTTTCCTGAACCAGATATTTCTTAGCCATTGTCATATGCCATGGCACATTTATCACATGTTTTATCTCTTTAACATTTAAATGTAATGTAGTTACACATGAATACCGACAATAATTCATAAATTATAGTAACTCAACCTTCATGTAGCTTTGTAAATTATTTCCTGTTGCCATCTTTCCATGGTTATTGCATTTTAACAAGCAGTGTGTCCTAGGTTAGAACTGGGATACCGCTGCTAAAAATGATTATGAAGAAAGCAATGAATACAAATTCTGATATTATGTGGTCTCTGTATTCATGTGTACATTAGATATGTCTCTTGTTACTTTGTTTTTAAGGCTTTTACTACATACAAACTCATAAAATTCTAAAACAATATTTATTTATAATTTCATCTAAAATATCTTCAGTTTGTATATTCACATAATTAAAAAAATGACTAAAGTATCAATTTAAAAACACAGCAACTGCTAGATTTCATAAAATAAGTTACAATAAAACAAGTTCATATGAAGAGTTCCTATGGAACTAAAACTCTTGTCTGCATCCTTCAGACTCATGCTGTGTAGCAAGATTATTCACTTGGTCAGGTCTCTTCATTACAAATATCACACACACTCCTTACCCATGAATACAATCACATTCGGGTATTTATTCTTCATATACACATCAGTCCACCCTCGATGATCAATCTCCAACAGTAGCTCTGTCCACTATCACAGCAAGTACGCTTTACATCTTGGTCTTCAGAATTACAGCATCTATTGGAACTCGGGTAGTCTAGTATGTACAAACACTTCTAAACATAGTCTTATACATTACATATTATGTCTCCTTGACTGATCCCTACAAGCTACAGCTGCCACTAGAGCTGCACCTCGTCCACTTCCATCCTCCGAAAGCATGAGGTCAAACTGTAATGAGAATTACACTTTAAGTTACTTTGTGTCTGTAGCTGGCTCGTTTGAAGTATTTTTTCTTATTGCTAGTGGGGTGGGACTAAGTCCCTTGTACTGCGGCCACTTCTGGCCCATTGTACCAGCCCCAGATGATAGGTGAGGGTGATCGTGGAGCAGTTGGTGGAATGAAGATTGGCAGGGGAAACCGAAGTACTCAGAGAAAACCTGCCCCAGCACCACTTTGTCCACCACGAATCCCACTTGACCAGACCCGGGCCGCTGCGGTGGGAAGCCGGCGACTAACCGCTTCAGCTATGGTGCAGCCTTGTTTGAAGTGGATATACTGCTTACAGAACATGGACTCTATACCCATTTGCTCCATCAGCATAACAGTACACACTCCAGTTCTGGCAGTGGTAGTCACTACAACAGCTACTTTTAACTAGAATTTCTGAATGCAACTTACATCTTTTCTAAGCGGCCTCCGTAGTCTAGAGGTAACGTTCCCACCTCATGACTCGTAGTACGCGGGTTCAAATACCCGGTGGAGGTCGTCGAATTTTTAAGGGCGGAAAAATTCAGGGAACAAGTCCTCCGGGAGGGACTTTAAGCCGTGGGTCCCGTGTCATAGCTTTATGGCACGTAAAAGAACCTCATACCTCCAAAGGAGGTCACTGAGCAAAATTGTGGACGTTTGCTGCCCAACAGCAGTCTCCAATACCTCCGGTAGATGGGGGAAGCATTATAGATACTTCTCAGTCAGTAGAGCCGGTCTCGCTGGCTGGGCGGGACTGATGGTAAGCACCAATACCGGTATGATATAGAGGCTGGTAGAACTCATAGAGGGAAGCACAATGGACCACTACAGGTCTAAGTGCATGGGGAAACCCACCCTCTCTAATAACTAACTGCATCTTTTCTACTACTAGTTTAGAAAGGCGTGGGGATTAGTATGCATTCTTTATTACTGATTGCAGATACGAATCTGTTACTGGAAAGCTAATCGTCATATGAACACTATTACCCCTGTAGATTCTAAAGGTTTCTGACGATGGGACCCAGTTGGGTACCTTAGCAAGAGCTGACCTCAATCACAACCAAATACCCAAAATCCCAGTAATTCTGGGTACTATATTTGTTACTTCCAATTCCTGGAAGTTCCTGAAGCTAGTTTCTCAAACCTGATGGGCAGCAAGAATTGCATGAAGCTCAGAAAAGTGGCCTTCTACATAATCCACCTTCAGTTGTACCTACCAGTGTGAATCTGTCTCCTCTATGATGAATATCATCAGGTCATACAGGACTCATGTTTAAGGTTCACCATTAGTAGTTACAAACCAGAATTCACAAAGTCAGAGAACTTAATGCAGTGTAAGTCTTTTAGTACAAAAACTTTCCATTTACTTGTATATTTCTGTTCTTAAAATTTTATGTTCATTTATTATACATATTGAAGGGAAACCAGATTAGTAACATTTTACGAAGGTCATACTGAAAGTCATGAGCAACAATTTTTTGTAAAGTAACATGCTTTATTATTGACAAACCAAATACACCACCTCAATCTACAGACCTTTCTTTATTTTTCCCCATAATCACCACTTCTTTGTGCACATTTCTTCTAGCATTCTGGGAGTTTGAAAGTTCCCCTTCTGTAAAATTCCATTCCAGCCATCCAAAGACACTGACACACTGCTTTCTGAATTGCCTTTCTTGCCTCAAAACATTGTCCACACAGCTGATCCTTCACAAATCCAAAAAGATGGTAGTCAGAGGGTGCCAGATCAGGGCTATAGGAGGAGTGTGGAAGAACTTCCCACCCCATATTTGCAGTTGCTTCCAATGTGAGGCCAGCGGCATGGGGGCGAGCATTGTCATGCAGGATGATGATGTTTCATCCTGGACGTTTATCGCGCGATGCATGACAGCTTGTGCAGCGTCTGGACATAACAAGCAGCATTGATGGTTTGCCAAGGTTCCAGGAATTTGGGCAGAATAAACCCCTCTGCATCCCAGAAGACTGTTCCCATCACCTTCGCAGCTGATGGCACTGTCTTTGCCTTCTTTTTTGATGGAGAATGCAAATGGTGCCATTCCATACTCTGCCGTTTCATTTCATCCTTGAAATGGTGAAACCAGGTTTTGTCACCTGTCACAATACAGAGCAAAAAATCGCCTTCGTATCGATATCTCTGCAGATCTTAGGTGATGGCTTTTCACTGACCTTTGTGGTCTTCAGTCAATAACCGCGGGACCCAACGAGCACAAACTTTCCTATAGCCCAAGCTTTCAATCATCTCCTGTATTGCACTGTGCCCTATTCCAAGTTTTTGGGCTATTGTGTCCACAGTCACATGCCTGTCATCTTGAATGATCTCATCCACTCTTTCCTTGTTGCGTTCAGTTGAGGCTGTTCGAGGACGACCACTCCAAGGCTCATCTTCGATGCTAGTGTTTCCATTTTTTAAAATATTTCACCCATCTTCGAACACTGCTCGCACCCATGCACACACTTCCAAAAGCACGCTGAAGTCTCTGGTGAATTTCTGCAGCGGGGATTTCCTCTTTCACAAGAAATTCGATAACAGCACGCTGGCGAAATGACATCGTCAGCCATTATGTTAGGAGTGATACTAGTCACGTGATGCAAGCTATTGACATCAACGAGACACTCAAAGTTAACACAACAGCTGGTTCCACCTACCACCATACTCTCTTTCATCTGCTGTTCCCACGCTGCATACAAAAAAAAAGTTGCTCATGACTTTCAGTACGACCTACGTACATTCTGAAGTAAAAATTAGCACTTGGGATTCAAGAAGAACTTAAACTGTGAAATTTCCATTTTTGTACATTCTTATTAGCCACTAAGATGACTGACATTAAATTAAATAAACAAGTGCACTCTTAGAATTCTGGACACTCCCAAGTAGCATTTGCCATGCTAAAGTCTGCCTGACCCTGGTCATGTAGCTTTTGTGCTGCAATACTGGAACAGGCCAGTGCCAGGAAGGATGAGTGTGTACATGTCTTAAGAGCACAAACTGGAGATCTTCAACTAGATAATTTCTACTTTCTCATATACATAGTATACAAGGTGTGGCAATAAAGAAACCGGATTACTTTTATGACTCATTTCCGGCCACGTCATTGACGAAGAGGAGGGTAGGGCATTGACCCTTGGACTTCCCTCTACCGTCACACAAAGTTTAATTCACGTGCATCGGTTAGTCTGGCCGCGACCATTGTTAGAAGCGGATCGTGTTTCTGAGCTCCGTCGGAATAATGCTGAGTGCTAATGCAGAACAACGTGCTAACATCAAATTCCTCACAAAACTTGGAAAATCTGCCACTGAAACTTACAATTTGTTGACAGAAGTATATGGTGATCAGTGTCTATCTCGCACGCAAGTTTTCGAGTGGTTTAAGAAGTTTATGGAGGGTAGGAAAAAC